CAAGTGAAAGGTAACCACATGGAAGCCTGGCTCCTGGAGTGGGGCACGGCTCTTGGCAGTGCCTGTTACGTGCTAAGATGAGCCTGCCTGCAGGCGTGTGGACCAGCAGGTTTCTGGGTGGAGTGCTGTGAGTGACGCAGGGCTATCTTTTGGGATTAGGGTCCCTTCCATGTTAGTGTCAGGTGACAGAGTGCCAGGCAGGTGGCTGTTTGCTCTGAGATAAGCCTGTATTGCTGCTATTGAGTAGTGGCCGGGAAACTGCTCTTCCTCTTTCTGGAAAGGTGAGTCACTGTTTGAGCAGATCCTGCCAGGTGGCCATAAAGCTAGAGACACAGCAAAGGGCTGCTATGGGGCTGCTTAGAAAGAGCAAGGCAGTGGCTGCTGCCTGGCATGGCTCTGTGTGCAGAGATCCTCCCAGCTGGGGCATCGTGCAGCTGCCACGATTGCTGGCACAGCCTGCAGGAGGTACACTGCTGCTTGAGTACCTCCTGGGCTCCTCACCTTCCACTGCACCCCTCTGCCCCACCGTGGGGCAGCCACAGCACGGGCAGTGCCAGCTCAGGGCCTGGAGGTGCAGCTGAAAGCAGCAGTGAAGCTGCTGATCGTGTGATGTTGGGGGCGGGGAGGAGGTTACAGGAACCAGCGGTGAATCGGCAGCTTCTTACTCAAGGCATTCTTGGAACTGCTCTGGGGCTGAGTTAGGAAACCTGCTTCTATTTTAAGGCCTAGGTGGTTTTTATGGTGCGATTTCTTTGTTGCAGTCTCCGTGTGACTGGCAGTGGGGATCAGCCGTCCCTCAGGAGCTGCTGGGGCTGCGCCCCCTGGGGAGGGCAGAGCTGCGTGGTGGGCGGCCTTGTGAGCCTTGGTCCTGGCAAGAGCTGGATTCATCTTCTGGGGAAGATCACTGCTCAGGAAGCGAGTGGGCGTAGTAATTAGCACTTCTCTCAGCAGTGCTGCTTTCATGTGAGCTCACCTGTCAGAGCAGGAAGACGCCTCTTCATGCCGCTGTCTTGTGAGGTCCCAGGAAGGCAGTTGTTCACTGCGCTCTGCTTCTGGAACGGGCTGCTGCAATGCTCGTGTGCCTGTGTGGCACTCCACCCCTTGATGGAGGTTTTCTTCTTTTTGCTGCAGGGTACTGACACGCTGTTTGCCTTATGTCAGTGCATCTCAGGTGCTGTGTTGCAAAATGACCTCTAACTTAATGACAATTACTCGTTCTGAATTTTGGGGGCTCTCTGTGCAGTGCATTTACATTCTTAAGGGCACGACCCAGCAGCCCCTGTGAAAAACATGCACGTTTGGACAGTGCAGGCTGTGCAGCTGTACCCCGAGGATCACACAACCATCCAACTTCAGGGGAGCGTGTTTTGAGGGCTTGCTTTGTGTCACGATCACTTACACTGCTGTCAATCTGAAGTGTTTAATTCATTTCTTCCAAGTGAAGCAATTGTTTGAGGCTACCCCAGTCATTTCCTTTGTCTGCCACACTTCCTTTCTTCTCCTGTTTTTCCTGCAGGCCTCTGGCTGTACCTGGCAGGGAGCAGTCTTCCCTGCCTAACCTTGATTGGGTCTCCTAATTTTGGATATCGATCCGTTCATCGTGACTTGGAAGCTCAGGTTGCAATAGTGACAGAAAATAAAGCTTTGCAGCAGCAACTCCACCAGGTAAGCAGCTGGGGAGATAACGTGGATGCTGTGCTTGTTGGTCACTTAGGGAATGCTGATGACGCAGCTGCAATAAAAACCTGCAGCCACGATAATTCAAAACCTTCTTGAGCATAGGAAGTCTCAAGGAGCTGTCAGTTAAGTGACTATTGATGAGATGCCTGCTACGAGTGCCTGTTTCTGGGAAATGGAGCCCATAATGGGAAAGAACACGTGTCCCCAGTGAACTCGAGCATCGCAGTGCTCAGGCTCATGCTGAGAGACACAGAGGGGCTCTGCTGGCTCTGTGTGCTGCTCATGCAGCACGTTCTCAGGCCTTATCCCCCAATATTTGGGCATTGCCAAGGTAGCTGCATGCTGAGCTGATGAGGTCAGGCCCTCGGGACCTCCCGTCTCACACTTCTGTGGGACTTTGCTTCTCAGGCGTTTGGGAAATCCTTTGCAGGGCTGTGAGTGCCAAGCAGCCCTTGGGTGGCTGCCCGTGGTTGTGGAGGTGAATGAGGGCAGCAGATCTTAGTGCAATTTCTACAGTGAGAGCATTTCTGGGCTGGTTGGATTGCATTGCCCACGAAATTACATGCAGCAGCTCTTAGTGTTGACACAAGCATTTTTCAGTGGCTTAATGTTCAGTATCCTGGCTTTTTCTTTTCTCATTAGGCAGCTTGGACTGTTCAGCATTCTTGCTGCTTCTCCAGTCCCTGTCAGTCTTGACTCTGAATCTTCTATGGGAGCTGACATTGTCCCCAGCAGTTTCTCTTGTAGTGCTCTGATGCGAGGAGCGTTGGTTTGGTGCCTCTGTGTGCAACTCAAGGATCTGAAAAATGCCTTGTATTAAGCTGAGTCTTGGCACAAGAAGGCACAGATCAATGGGAATTGCCCTATTGCATCAGGGCTCTTCCACAGAATGAGTCAGAGTGTATCTAATCAAAAACAATTCTATTACTGGAAGAGTTACTTGAATATTTCAATTCACATCTTGCCTCTACTTGTTTCTAATGGAAGGAGAGAATCAATGAAAACATGACAGAGGAATTTTCTCAAACAGCACGCAGTGATCTGATTTAAAGGCTCTAAATGATTCCTGTTTGCTGGAAGCTGATTCTGAGATTGGCTGTTTACTGTTCTGTGATCTTTGTTCAGAGGACTCGACTTTATGCCGAGGTGACGCAGGCTCTAATGGAGTGCTCTCTCTTTCTGTGCAAATTACAACTCCATTCAGCACTGCAGCTGAAATGCCATTTTCAGTTACATGAGCAAACAGAATGCCCAGTGCCTTTCTCAGGGAATCGGATGCGTTCTGGACTTTTCTGTCTGACATTTCTTTCTTTCACCCTTTAAAGCTTCCTCCTCCTTAGTAATAACCTTTCAATAACAACTGAGCTTTTAATATTGCAGCTGATGTGCAACAGCCACCTCTTAACTGTAATCTGTAATATTGCACTTGTGCATATGTAACATGTGCAGTGCCACGAAGCCCCTTTGGTTGTACAGCATTCAGTTCCAAACATCAGCAGCATTTTTCAAGCAGGGGGTTGAGGAGAAGGGGGGGCTGGGAGTCTCACTGAATGAGCTGAGCATTCTCCGAATTTCAGTTCAGATAACTGCTCTCACTTCAGTGATCAGCTTACCTCACTGTATCAGATGACCGTGACACAGAGGCTTCTTAGCAGCACTGATGGTGGCATTCTGGGTTTCTAAAATTAGGCTGACTTGGCTCACACACACTTCTGTCTGTTCCTGCTTCGTGTTTCTGTGCTCCTTTCCGATGCCTGGTTCCTGCTGTCTGCGTTGTACTCTGTGTTCTTTCTGTTGTTTGTGACAACTAAGCTAGTCTAGAGATCAAGTACAGACTTACAGGAGATGATCTGCTCCTTGTTTGCCTGCAAATCTACAAACCTAACTGGTTTTGGTAGGAAAACCTCTTCTACGTTGGATCAGAAATCTGCTTACACGTGTGACACGGGCACGTATTATCATCATGATGGCTCATTTCCTCCTTCAGCAGTGCTGTGTACACAATGAAGAAGCCTAAGTGTTTCTGGTAATATAGTTGAAGTCGTGACTGCATATTCATTTGAAAACACAGTGCCTGAGCTGTGTCTAGAAAGGAGTGCGTAAGCCAGTCTCTTGAGATTATGATAAGGTTTCCTTTTCTGGCAATTACAGCAAGGGATTTAGGATTTTTCTGAAACTACAGCTGTAAGAGGGCTGAGCTTCAAGGCACACAAAGGCAAAGCCTTCTGCCTTTGCTGTTTGCAGAGTTAAATTGCTAATTGTTGAGGATCACTTTGTTAGTGCAGTTACTTCCAGAAGGAGAGCTGTGGCAGGACAGCCCCTGTGCTGCCTCCTCGGTGGCTTCACGGCTCTGTGAGCTGCATGGAATGAGGCTCTTATGCTCAGGCTTGTGAGAATCCTGGCAGGATCGTGGCCAGTTTTCTGCCTTGTCTTACAGGCTGTTCTATCTAATTAAACGCTTCTAATTTCCTGGGATGATTTTTCTCTGTACAGGAGCAGGAGCAGCTGTACCTCTGCTCAGGTGTTGTGTCGTCATCAACGTTTGAGCAGCCAAGTCGGCACGTGAAGCTGTGGGTGAAACTGGTAACGCCTCTGATCAAGAATTTCTTTTGAAAGAAGCAGAGTTGCAGCTTTGGGTGAGTTTTTCTGCTGTTCTTTTGGAGAATTATTTTATAACAGATTGATTATTTTATAACAAAGAGGCGGGCATTGGCTTCTGTGTGATGGCCAGAGCAGCTCTCATCTACTTAACTGGCAACGCTGCTGATGGAAATTATTTTCTGTGAAAGAGTAGAGCAAATTCTGTGATCCAGAAATAAAAGGACTCCACTGTCAGAGGTTCAGTGGTTCAGAGCTGACTTTCATCTGAAAGCTGGGAGGTGGAGGTTGTGAAGGTTTGTCTCTGTGGCAGAAAGGTGAGTGTTCCACAGTACGTGGGACTGCCTGGGTCCCATTGGTCCCAGGCAGAGGTGCTGGGATCTGTGGGTTGTGCAGGTTGACCTGGGGACAATCTGTGCCAAATCTGCCTTTTTTTTCTATCTGATGTAAACAAATATTTCCGTGCAGGAATATGTGCTGTGCATGGCTTGATAAACTTCTGCTTGCAGTTAGCACTGAGTGATCAAACACATACCTGTGAAAAGGAGGAGAGCTCTGAGAAGGAAGGGAGTCTGGGTGGTTGCATGCTGTTCTGTTAGGCTCGCTTCAGCAGCCTGGCTTGAACCAATGCTCTATAAGAAACCACCCACTGAAAGCCAGTATCCATCCTGAGAAACTCTGTGCATTGCAAGAGTACTGTCCACACAACAGCAGTTCCTGCACTGTCTTTATTAATGCTTGGGCTAAGTTACACGAGGGGTTTGGGGCAAGTGAAAGCCTTTGCTGCTTTCCAGGCCATGGGAGTTTAGACCTGCAGAAGCAGAGCGACAGCAGCAAGGATCCACTTGGCGGCTTTTTCTTTTGTCTTCAGGTTGAAGGTCCAGACGTAGGTGGGACCTCGCATCCGTGTCTTATAGACAGGGCATTCGTAGACGTTCTTGGTGTCCATGCGGTCCACAGGGACGGCTCTGATGAAGATGACTGGCATCGTGGGGCTCAGCTCCTTCAGCCGAGCGTCTGCGATGGCCCCGGAAGGGATGTCCCATCGAGCTCCTGCACGGAGACACAGCTGTCATGGTACCAGCAGCCCCATGCATTTGCACTTCAAAATGGCTGCTTTTTAACTACTAACGGGTGGGCAGGGGTTGTTGTAGCAGCAGGGTTGCAGAGGGTCAAGTCTGAAGGTTGGGGGGCCGTGGTTGGGGGGTCGCTGGGGCTGACGTGTTGGCGTCCCACTGCGACTCATGAATGCGTTCTGCCCTGCTGTGTGTGGGATGTCTGAACCAACTGTGCCCCCGCTCTGCCCTTCAGTGCAGGTTGGCAGGGCAGTTGCCTAGGGGGAGGTGGAACTTGGCTGTGGTGGGAGCTACGGTAGCTGTCTGACTTGTGCCCTTGTTTAAGCTGACTCTTGGCGCTCTGCTGTTACTGCCATCTCATCCCCTCTCGTTCTTTTTAGCAGTAATTATTTATGTTCTGAGTTTCCTGGTTTGTCTTACCCGCACGTTAGACAGTAGTGAAATGTATTTATTTGTTAGAACTGTGCAGCTTAAAGCCGCTGAGTCCTCAGGTTCTCAGTGGGCAGCCTGCCTTTAGTTTCTGGTTGGTGAAACTCTGCATGAAAACCGGGCTGCTGCTGCCCTCAGCTGGTGTGTGTCTGACACTGGCATGGGATGAAGGCTCCGCTGCTTGGAGCTTTGTAAAAGCTGCCCCATATTTAGTAAGTTAGTGAGCATTCACACCTGCTGTGTTTGCAAGAGTTATTAGCTCTGATTTCTCTGTGCCTGAAACATCTCCTACAGGATGTAATCTTTTACCTTCCATGAATAATCCGTGTACATAGGAGCCTTCTCTGGGTGGAGCTGTCATATCCTCCTTGTTTTTCTTGGTCACTTCCACTGAAAGGCACATCTTGTCCAGTGGCCATTCGTTTTTTCTAGCCATGGACTGCATGATAGCAGTGAGGAAAGACTGGGGATTGAAGAACCCTGCCAGCCACACCGTCACAGGCAGCACAAAGTCCGTTGTCCAGACTTCAAGTTCCTGGAAAACACAACAGCAAAGTGCTGTAGAGCAAAGCCTGGCCTTTGGACAGTGGAGCACAGCTCTGATGTCACAGAGCTGAGCTTCAGGTGCTGGGCAGCTGGGGTGGTGTGGTCAGAGATGAATAAATATCGGATTGCACTGCAGCTATTCAACTCCAACTGTTCATTTGGATTGTAGTAACTCCTGCTGTTGTTTCTTTTTTAAATACATGGTTTTATTAAACATATCTATTTTTTTCTGAGGTGTATAATGTTACATTAGTCATGTTCTTTCAGAACAGTGTCACATACTAATGGGCTCTCATTGGGATAACAGTGCAGGTGCTTTAAACTGCTTAAACTAACACTGAAAAATAAAACAGTTCACTACCAGTGAGTCCTGATCTCCTGTGGTATCTACTTCCTCCACCAGCTTTAGTCTTCAAAAGAAATCTGCTCACCCTAATACGAAGGAGCAGGTCTGCATACCAAGCTCCTAAGCTGAAAAGAGAGGGGTAGGCATAACGCGTCCAGGATTCAGGCACGCTGTCGTAGAAGAGAGCAGTGGCCAGCTCCTCCATGTCTGATGTAATCGTTAGCTCTCCCTTTAAAAAAGACAAGAATTGGGGCAGTTGGAGCTGGAAGGAGCAAGGCTGATGGCAGTGTTTACTTCCAAGCCCTGTACAAAGCACGGGGCTGGTGTAAAAACAAAGGCAGGCAGCAAAGTGCTTTGTACAAGATGGGCTCTGAAACGAGCAGCAGCTATTTGCAGATCACAGCAAAGGGTTGGGCAGGGAAAGGTGCTTCCAGCAGTGCCTACCTTCAGCCCCAGGTCTAATTCTTTCAAAGAGCGCCTGATTTCGTGGGTCAGGATGTTCATTCTTTCACACTCCTGGAAGGCAACCACCACGTATGGTGTCTTATCCTCTGCTTTGGCCATGATCTCTGCCATGTTGAATGGCTCTGGCAGCTTCTCCATGATCTCATCTAGGACTGACTTCACCTGGAAAAAGTAGAACATAAACCTGCTGTTATTTAAGGAAAAATGCAGTGAGTTCACAGTTAAAAGGCAGTAAGGTTTTTTTTTTTCTTTCTCTGCCTTTGTGCTCTCCTGTGCTTCCTCCTTTGTTACTCCTGCTCCTCTCTTTGACTGCTCCTGGATCTTAAAAAGCTGCAGCTCGTTGTTAATAGCCAGGAAGCTAAGGAGACTGAAATTCAAGTATAAATGCAAAGGAGCCAGGAGGAAAGCTTTCATTTTTTAAATTAAAATTAAAAAAAGTCTGTGTTTTTAGTAGTTGTTCTCATGTGTGGAAATTAGGAGGCGTGCTTTATCTACTGAGCACAGCGTGTGACCTGTGTTATGCCACTGCACCTCTCTGCCCAGCTCTGAGCGCTGCTGCCTTGGGTAACTTCAGTGTTTCACACTGAGCAAAGGCAGACGGGTTGGGCAGCATTTCTAGGGCAGCATTTCTACCCTTTGGGTTTCTTGAGGTGAGTGGAGGATTGCAGCTGATGGTGCTCAGTGCTGGGTGAGCGGGGCCTGCCTGCTCTGGGACTGAGGTGGGACCAGGGGAGGGGGAAAGGGGTCCCCGGGACACCACGGCCACTGCTGTGTGTGCTGTGGCTCTGGGCTCTGCTTCCTCAGCAGCTGTAGAGGGTGAAGCTCCTGCTGGTGTTCACTTACAGTGCCAATAGAAAGTGGGGTGAGGAGCCTGGGCATGGGGCCCCGTGCAAACGCGCTCCAACAGAACCTTCTTGGCAGGGCTGTGTGCCCTCTGTGGAGCCTGCTGCTGTGCCAGCATCCCCTCTGCAGCTCCCGCTGTGATGCTGAGCTGTGTTCCCTGCTCAGCTCTGTCCCCCCTGCCAGCCACCCGCACCAAAGCAGCAACATCTTCACTTACCTTCTCCTCGCGGGAGGCACCTGAGCCACCTCCAGCATCAGATTCCTTGGGCTGCATTTCTAAAACGGTCCGAAAAAGCCTCTCGGAGGTGACGGTCAGGAAGCCGATCTCGGCGTTGGGATGGAGGCCATAAAGGTAGGGGCTCTCTGGTGGCAGATTGTCATCGATGTACGCGTGGTAGCCCTGGGCACGGGTTGAGCAGATATGTACACATAAGTGCAAATTTCCTTTCCACCTCGAAAAAGGCATCATCACTTCCTGCTGTTGGTGCTTCACAGCTGCCTGCCGTTACTTAGGATGATTTTCCATTTGTCTTACCTCAAATCTGTTCCTTACCACCCCAGCCACAGGAGCTGTTTTTCCAGTGATGCTGCATGTTTCCACTGGATGGAAAAAGAAGAGCTTTTTCTTTTTTTCCTACACTCCAGCTTTGGGTTGTGTGAGGGAACTCTGACCAGCGTGTGCTAATCCAGAGCGGTGGTTTTCCACAGCAAACTGTAATGCTAAGTATGGCCTCCTGCGCTGAGAATGCTCTTCCCTACCTTATAATCCATGCTGGGTGGGATCAGGAACCCCGGGGCCAGCTGCAGCTCCCCATCCAGCATCTCCACAGTGATGTATTCGCTCAGGTAGGTGCGGCACAGCCGCCGGTCCCAGTCGTCTGTGATGTGCCCTCCGTACATGATCTCACCAAAGAGGTAGCGGAGGTCATCCCACGGCACCTACCCAGAGGCACTGCCATCAGCTGGCTGCAGGCCTCCCAGGGCTGCTCTGCTGCGTGTTAGGGCTGCTGCGTGGCCCTTTACCTTGGGGTTGGCCTCCAGGTAATTGTACAGGACGTTAATGGAGATGGTCAGGTCCCCGTTGTTGAAGGGGTAGGAGCGGTTCCAGCCCTGAGCACCAAACTTGCGCCGCTCCGCCACCACCGCGTGGAAGTAGCAGAGTGCAAACAGGATGCACTTGAACTCGATCTCTTTGCTGCACATCTCCAGCGTGTCCTGCAGGGGAACGGCAGCGAGAGTGGGCCGGAGAGTGAAGAACCCACGTGGGGGAGAACTGAGGAGTGTACATTTACAATAATGAAGCAAACCCACATACAATTCCATCTCTAAGCGGTTAACCATTGCCCCCATTTTTTCATTACAACACTTTGGATCTATACGAGCTCCTATGACTCCCTGTATGTGAGACTGCTCACTGGGAGGGAGCAGTGCAGGGAAGCAGCACGGCTACCTGGGAGAAGAGATCGAGGGCTTTGTGCAGGTTGGCGTGCATGCCGGTGGGCGGCTCGTTGGTGATCTTAATGGCATTTTCCAGCAGCCCCTGTGGGATGATGTGTGCCTCGGGGCTGGGTGCTGGCTCTGCGCTCATGAACACACGGTAGTCGGGGTGGCTGCCCGTGCTGTGCCGCTCCACGCGCTTCTCCAGCGCGCCCAGCCAGCGGGCCACCAGGTGGATGTTCTGCAACACAAACCCTACGTGTGCTGTGTGCTCTGAAATTCGGTTTCCCCCCGGACGTCTGCAGAAGGCAGCTGCACCTCGGGCTGGGGATGCCAGAGGTGTCACCGCTGTGTGGTGACGGCTGTGCCCACCTGCAGGATGACCCAGTGCCCCTGTTCTGCCGCCACCTCCAGCGCCTGCTCCGCCACCACCTCCTGGCCCTGCCCCAGAGAGACGTTGTGGATCCTCCCGTTGTCGATGGTGAAGTTCAGCTTCTTGCCTGGAAGGGGAGGAATTGGCTCTTTGTTAGTGCTGATGGGAGCATAGAGCAGCTCCTGCTACGCAGTGCTTCAAAGAGCACTGACCCCATTGCCTGTGAGATGCAGTGCAGCTGGGACCCAGCTTACCCAGGGCTTCCACGTCCTTCAGAGGGTCAACTCCAGGCGAGAGAATGAAAAACATGGGTGTGGAGGGGCTGGTCTCCTCATACGACTTGGAGAATTCCACACTCCTGCCTTCCACATACTTGCTGCCCATCTTCTCTTCCACAAAATTCCTGCAGGAAAGCAGCACCCACCCGTGAGCTGGGGACACGTGCTGGCTGCAGGTGGCTGTTGGTGCAATGTGGGCACCTGACAGCGTAGGTCATCCTGTCGGGCCGCATGCAGCGCAGCATGCACAGCTTCTGCAGTGCTGTTTTGTTCTTCCACTCTTTGGGAAACACCTCCTTCTCAGGCACCTCGGACTCAACAAACTTTTTCCATCGCTTGGCGGAGCCCTCGATGTCACTGTCCAGGTTCTTGAACTCATCCATCTCTGAGAGGACCTGCACACACAACTCCTTGCTGGGTGCTGCCTCCCATCTTGGGGGGGAGGCAGCTCATCCTCAACCCACCGCTGTGCTGCACTTCAGACCATGCCCTGAGCTGGAACCAACCTTGATGCCACCCCAGCCCTGGGGCTGCAGGAAGTCCACGGGGGATGTGACACCGGCCTTGAAAGGGAAGCGCAAGAGGAAATCCAGCTCTGCTGGGCTCACTTCTTTCTTGATGGCCAGCACCTGGTGAGCCAAGAGCACAGGCTGGTGGCTGCTGCACAGGAGCCCCTCCACTCAGAGCCCCAGCAAGAAGCTCTGATGGAGGGCAGGGTAGCAAGGAAGTAAAAGAGAATGTGTCTAAAATAACAAATTCACATCCAGTACCAAACATCAGAAACCCAACACATTCGCTCACGTTACCTGGAAGGCAACCTGGGCCAGGAAAATGAGTTTGTCCTGCTCAAAGAGCCCGCGGGCGGTGTACATGAAGACTGAGTAGGTGATCTCATCTGTCAGGTTGATCACCCGCTGCCCCACATCCTCAGCCTGAGCTGTTCGTTGGATGGCTTTCTCGAAGACCACATTGAATGCCTAACGGAGAGCCAGGGTGGGCTCAGTGCTGTGCTTCTGAGAGCTTCGTTAGAGGAGTTAATGATGAAATACCCAACCCCTGCTCCACAGAAAGCAACTGCTGCCTCGCCTTACGCTCACCTTTAGGGAGAACTGGTAGATGGGGTTGATTTTGTTGAGGTCGCTCAGGATGAAGTACAGCAGGGACGCTCGTTCTGCTGCTGGCCGGTAGTTCTCCCTGGCCACGTTTATTTCCACCTCTGTGACTTTGGCTTCCTTCACCTTGAGGCACAGGAGTGGAGTGTTACAGCTGTGCCCTGCAGCATCGCCCTGTGCCCGTGCTGCCCAGGTACCTTCTCCTCGATGTCTATGGCCGTGCGCTTTGTCGTCTCCAGGTTCTCCACCAGCGCTGTGTCCCCCAGGAAGTTCCCCGAGGCAGCGGAGAGCCGGGCGAGCAGGGAGTCCTCCAGCTCCTTCAGGTGGATCTTGAACTCATTCTGGCTTTTTGTGAGATTCGCCTGCACACAGCACCCAGGAGAGGTGTGAGCCATGGCTGTGGTGCCGCTGCTGCCATCACTGGGGGCTCAGCAGCCCCAGTACATGCAGCCCTTGCAGTGCCAGCAGCTCATGTGGGCTCCCACCTTCAGTGCCTCCAGGTCGGGACGCTCCTTGGCCACCACAGCGGCCAGCAGTTGGTCCTCCAAGCCTTCCCGTGTCACCAAGAAGTTGATCAGTGTGCACTGTGCCTGCATCTCAGGCTTGTAGTGCGGGTTGAAGTACTTGGTGTGCAGGATCAGGCGGAACTGCGGGTGGTACTCCACTTCTTTGTCTCCTATCTTAATGTATCTGTTAGGGTAATTACGTTAATTTCTGTGCGATTGGCAGTAACTCATGCCAGAGAGAACCTGATGGGGACAGGGAGGTGAATGGGAGGGGTCAGGGGCTCAGCACAAGCCCCACAACTGAGCACACACCTGTGTGTGCTAGAAGCAAACCCCCCCTCCCCATTTATCTGGATTTATCCTGCAGGTGTGCACAAGAACATGTTTATCAAATGACCAGAAACATTCCATCACCTATAAGTCCCCCCCCACTGGAAATGCATAGGGAAAGTGAGAAGTATAGGATGTGGCCAAAGCTCTTGTGTGGAGCTGCTGCCGTGCAAAGGGACACAAATAGGCATCACAGAGCAGCAACCGGTCTGCAAGCCTACCTGCCCTTCTTGATGGTGTTCCTACCCAGCAGGTGGTCCAGCACCGGCTCCACCGTCTCACCAATGTCCTCAATCAGCAGCGTGTGTCCTTCAGAAACTGCCTGCTCAATGGTGTCCAGGTAGCTGTGAGTGGGCAGGAGCTGGGCTTATGTGGAGCTCAGGCAAACACGTCCCAGCCACCCCATCCCTCCCCATCCCACCTCCTCTGGCCCAGCCGGATGGCCTTCAGCTGCTCCCCATATTTATTCCTGATCCACTTGATGCCCTGCAGCTGGGCGTCCACCACCAGCGGCCACCGCTGCGTGTTGCAGAGGATCGTAGCGTTCTCAGTGGAGGTGCGGTCGCTGGGCAGCCCCTGGTTGCTCCATGTGGCCACGTCGGCAGCGTCGGTGAGGAGGCTGAGGGGGTCCAGCCCCGGCGTGGTGGGAATGGGCACCTGAAAGAGATGGGACATTGGAGCCCCAGCCCGGAGCAGCGTGAGCCCCTCGGTGCTGGGGCAGAGCCGGGGAACTCAGAGCCGCTCACCTTCAGCCCCTGCAGGTAGGGCACCCAGCACTTCTCCATCAGCTCAGCCCGGTACTTCTTGGTGAAGTAGCCGACGTAGGACACGAAGGCAGAGATGAGCAGCACATCCCCGCACAGCGTCTTCTCTTGCTCCCTGAACATCTCTACCGACTCGGCCCAGCGCACGTTTTCGGATGCCAGCCCCCCGATCAGCCTGCAGACATTGAGCATAGCATGGGGGCAAGGCTGGTACCACCCCTGATCTGCTGCGGTGGGCAGGGGCTGCACAGCCCCACTCCCTGCAGTGGCCCCGCTCAGGAGTGGGGATTTTTAGCACAGGGGGAGGCGGTGCAGAGCCCATCTGCACGGTACCTGTTGGCTAACGTGATTACTCTGTTGGTCGCATCAGCCTCCTGCTGACATTTGATTTTTTCAGCCGTCGCTTTCTCAAACTGCGCAGTCAGAGTTGCCAAATTGGCATTCAGGTCCTTCAAAAGACAACGCGCTCGCTGTTGGCTCCCACTCGCACAGAACACCACGCAGTGAGCAGAACGCCAGGAGAGAACTCAGCGGGAGCGAGGAGCTCAGCGCTCTCTGAGAAGACGCAGCTGCAGCCGGGCTGGGGCTGCACAAGCGATAACCATCTCTCATTCACCACTGGCTTCTCGTCAACCCATAGCCATGGGGACAGCAGCCAAGGCACACAGCCGCACTCCTGCAGCCGCCCGGCCCGGGGGAGCGCACACTCACCGCAATTTTCTTCTTAATGCGGCTCAGTTTGTCTTGCGCCTCCGCCAGCTCCGCGTTGGCTTCCTCCAGCGCCAGCCTCTTGGGCTCCACCTCGCAGTACACATTGTAGAAGCGGACGATGTTCAGGCACCAGGAGCACAGCCCAGCCGCGGCTGTCGACTTCGACATGATGAACTCTGGGTCGAAGGTGGGGTCCGATTGGTAGCGCCTGCAGGGGGGGGGGGGGGCACAGCCCTGCACCTCCTGCTCGTGGGCACACAGCCCGCCCTGGGTCCCACGGGTGGCACCGTGCCGCAGGGGCAGCAGCCACGTGCTCACTGGAACTCCTTGAGGCACGCCTCGGGGATGTGTTCCTTGTCAAACTTCTTCAAGGCATCGAGGAAAGTGTCCACTTTCCCCATCATGATCTTGGCCGCCTTCCAGCTCCTGTCCTTGGGGATCTTGCCGTGCGGAGCCGTCAGGATCATCACGGCTGCCGTGACGTTCACCACCGCTTGCGGAGGGGACCCGAAGGACTTCAGCTCCGTCAGGTTGTTCTGGGAAGGGAGCACGGGACGCTGAGCACTGCCAGGCACGGGGCACCCGGTCACAGCGCTGTGCTCTCTCGTACCTTGTTGAGCGTGTTGAGGGCTTCCTGTGCGGCGACGAGTGCGGGCTCAGCCTTGGCCAGGTCGGTCTCGCAGGCTCGCTGCTTCTCAGCCACATTCTGTGGAGGAGGAAGGGGCAAGGCGTGCCGAGCGGAGCCGGGTATGGAGCACTCAGTGCCACCAGCGGGTGCTGCCCAGGGCCACCTACCGTGTTGATGGCCTGGACCTTCAGCTCCTCCTCGTCAGCGATGGCTTTCTCCTTGCTGACCTTCTCCGTTTCAACGCCCACCACATGGATCAGTTTATCTGCATCCTCATTCTTCTGCTTCAGCTCTGCCTCCTGGACCGCCAGCGTGGCTTTCAGGTCATCCACCTGAGCAAGGGGGGGATGGGAGAGGTTGGGCACCGTCAAACCCTGATGGGACCAGCGAGATCTTCGGCTGGGGGCTGCATTGCCACCTGTGCCCCAGCAGCCCACGTGCCCCACTGCCCAAACCGAGAGCTCTGTGTGGGGCCAAGCCCTGCTCTCGTGCCCACCATCCCTCCTCAGGATGGAGCCGGACCATGCCCACCTGTGAGGCCGTGCTCTGCAGCTTTGTCAGGCCATTCTCCAGCCTCTCAGTTTTGGCAGTAAGCTCACTCCTCTTCTTAGAGAGCAGGTTTTGGTAGAGCTTTATCTGCTCCAGGAAGGTCTTTGGTGTGGTGTAGTTATAGCGTCGCTCCACAGCCAGGTAGGTCTGGGACATCTCCTTCACACTCATGTGGACATAGGACATGAACTGGCTGATGGAGACCTTGACCTCGGGCTGCAGCAGAGCAGCACAGTGTGCTCTGTAACACCGTGCATGAATGTGAGGGGTGAAGCCAAGTGCTAGCTGCATGCCCGGCAATGCTCACCTCAATGTCCCCCGTCTCCTCCAGGAACCTGCTGCTGACAGACACCAGGGCATCCTCTGGCCACTCGTGGAACCAGTCGATGGCCGTGCAGTTGACTATGGCAGGGAACCTCCTCGCCCGCACGCGCAGAGTGGAGCCCACGGGGGAGAAGCACAGGATCACCTGGAACAGGCAGTGCTGGTGAGAAGGGTGGCTGCTGGTCCCCACTGCTGCATGTGGAGACTTCTCCTCCCTCCCATTGAAGTCCTGACCCTGTGCCCGTGGATGGTTGGCAGTGGTGTGCCCTGCTCTGCTTGGTGGGGACCAGCCAGCCCCAGCTCCCTTTGACCACAGCCAGGTGGCTGCATGCACACAGCCTTCCGCTCAAGAGGGAAACCTGTGGGTGTCAGCAGCTGCACCTCTGGGCCTCAGGGCACGAGGCGCTGGGGATCCTTTGAACACACCTTTTGCTCACACTCATTACAGCATAACAAAACCACAACAGTCTGCGTCGTGTTTGCAAACAGACTTTGGATTAAAGATGTCAGAAGCCTTCACAAACACCACTCCTGGGCGCACACCTACCTTCAGCTGACGCCTGACTCTCTCTATAAATAATTTCCAGCAGTTTTCCCTTGAGTCTGGCAACCCAAGGAACTTCACTTGTGGCCTCATGGCACTGATAATGTCTTCCAATTCATCATCCTGGAAAAGCCCCGGCACCTCCCCAGATGCCAGAAAGTCATTGATCAGGACCAAGAACGATTCCTCTGCCACTTGGGAGTCCGTCATCAGGAACACTGTAGGAACATTCTTTATGGCTGCCTTGATGTACTGCGAGGCGAGGTCCAGCTGGGGAAGCAAGGATTGTCAAGGCATGGCTGAGCTGCCCCGGTGTTGGGGGGAATGCGGGGAGACCCACTCTCACCTTCAGGTCTGGGATGCCGTATCCCTTCCTCAGTGTTATCTGAAACACCTCTAGAGAGCTGATGTGAGCAGCAAGCCGGGAAAGGCTCTGCTTCCCGCTGCCCCCCACCCCCACCAGCAGCGCGTTGCCTCGGGGGGACTCCAGGATCCGATTGATTCTGCAAACGTGAGACACCGCGTCCTCAAAGAGCACCTAAGGAAAACGTGAGAGAGGGATTACTGTCCTGAATCACAGTGCCAAAAGCAGTGAATGCCCCAAATCATGCAGTCCTGCAGCGTGAGCTCACCAGGTTCATCACCGCATTGACCTCATTGTAGCTGTCCAAGGCCTCTCCCAGCAGCTTGTTGAGCGATGGCCAGCTCGGCACTGGCATGTACTTGGGCTCCCTGATGCCCTGGGCAAAGTGGCAGTAGATGTTGGGCTTGGCGAACACTGTCTCTTCGCTGAGGTCCTGGAAGAGGAGTGGCAGCGGTGGGCACGTGGAAGGGACCCTGTCCTGGTGCAGGGCTCCTGGCACGACTGCATCATCGCAACCCCCCAGCTGTCATGCCCTCCTTTTCCAGCACAGCTTACAGCAAAGAATTTCTTGCAGGTGTCAGTTAGCATCTTCCCAAAGCTTTTCTGATCCTTGTCATCAACGAGCTTGTCCCCGTAGACCCGCTCAGCTTCGTGCATCCAGAGCCTCACCAGGTCCACGGGGCTCCGCAGGCACTCAGGGGTGGAGAACAGCAGTCCCTGCAAACGCAGGGACCCTCAGCCCATGGGGTTTGTTTGCTGCTGCTCCAAGCTGAGTTAAAGAGCAGCTTTGGGAAAAGGTCACGGCACTGGGGCAGGGACACGGGGTGCTGCAAGCATGCACAACAAAGGAAGGAAAGGAATTTAACAGGAACAACCAGCCCAGTACCTGGAATATGTTGGAGAGGTCTCGGAGATTGAAGAGGTAGTGGAACTTGATGGCAGTGGGCAGGAAGATGGCAGTGACCCGCTGGTGCAGGGCTGTGGGCAGGGTGTGCAGTGAGCAGGCTGCTGAGCCTCGCCTGGCGCTGCCCTCCCTGTGCTCAGCGCTGCCTTCCCCACACCAGCACCAGAGCTCACCCAGCGCGGCTGCCACCAGCTGCTCCTGCAGCCTCTGCACAGCCAGCGGCACCTTCTGCAGGGCCAGGTGCTGAGCCAGGATGGCGCTGTAGATGGTCAGCAGTGCATCCTGGCCGGGGAAGCTCACGGCGAAGACGCAGAAGTGTCGCTGCAGCAAGGAGCAGTGGCTCAGGGGGAGCAGCACCCTGCGGGGCTGATGGAGCCAGCCAGCACCAAGGAGCTCCCTGGCCCTGTCTGTACTCTGAGCCCAGGCTGGGACACAGCCCCCACCTCAGGAGAGCAGCACTGTGAGCCCTGCGTACCTGCAGCCTGGAGTCAATGGTGAAGGACCCCGCGGTCGGGTTCATGCAGGACACGTACTGACAGTTGTGGATGTCCTTCAGGGTCAGTTTGTTCCTGTCGTACCTGCACAGAACAGTGATATTTCCTTCGGGTGGGTTCCCCCCACTGCCACAGCACTGCCCTATGCCCAGGGGCAGCCCCGGCCCTCAGCTGAGCATCACTGAATGGCATCCGTGCCAGCAGCCGCCTACCAGTGCCCATGGTCCATATGCTGCCGGATGAGTGTGTGCGGAGCCACGGTGCCATACTTGTCCACCTCGGGCATGTTCAAGTCATCAATGAAGTAAATGAGCCTCTTAGTGCCTGGTGGGCCATAGTTCCTCCCTGACTTCTTCTCCAGGGGCTTCTCCAGGATGGCTGCAAAGGGCGGAGAGCATGGGACATGGGAAAGCACAACTGAGCCCACAGAGGGGCAGCTGTGGACGGCCCTTACCCTGCAGCATGGCTGAGGTGGTGTAGAAGTTAAAGGGCACGGACTGCACCAGGTACTCCTCTGTGCTGAGCGTTTCGAGCTTGTCCCACATCAGCACAGTTTTCCCCGTCCCCGCATTCCCCACCAGCATCACCGGCCACTGCTTCTCCATCAGCAGGTCCATGAAGTAGCGGATGCGGACGGTCTCGGTGGTGTGCACCATGGAGGCCTGGGGAAGGCAATGGTTGTGCCCCAGTGCAGTGTGCCTGCAGCTGCTGGGCTCTTCTCTGGGCACTACTAACTACTGCTCTGAGCAAAGGCAATGCCTCACTGCACCGATCTGGGCCCTCTCTACAGCAAAACAGCTCAGCACCTGGCTATCCTAAGGGCTTTCTGACCAACAAGAGGAGCCATCAGATACATCAAAACAACACATCATTCCTGAGACTTGTGTGCCATGTTTTGTCTGGCCAACACGTGGTGCAATCCAACCCCGGTGCTTCCCCTTTTCCATCACATCCTTGACGCAACCGCCTTCCCTCATTGCAGCATTTCAAAAGATGTATGCAAATCATGTTTTTCATGAGAATCCAAAGCCAGGCATTGCACTGAAACTAAAAGAAGAGTTACAGCATGCAGCTCTCACTGAAGTATATGTACAAGGAGTAAAGCAAAACTGCAGAGAGCTGCAGGTTCACCTGATGCCATCCCATACAGCGCAGTGCCTGCAGTGCTGCAGATGTGTGCACACAGTGTGTAGGGGAAACACTGCTGGCTAATAAACAAGGCATGGCTATACAGACAGCTTGTGGGAAATACCTGCAAGGGAACTTCGGGGTCAAGATTGAATGCTGGCACTTTATCAGTCCAGGGCATGAATTTCTTTGTTTCCGGATCGATGTAATAGTCAAAAATTGTCCCCTGAGCAGGAAATTTGACGGCTTTGAACTCGTTCACCCACCACTTGCTGAATTCTGCACGGTAATCCATGAGCTGGAGGGAACCAAAAGAGAAAAAACTCAGAACATGGCCAGCGTGAGGATTTGGTGCTCCCACAGCATCACAGCCCAACCTGGTCCTGGAACATGGCCCCACCGAAGGCCCAGATGCAGGCAAAGATGAAGTAGAGCTCATAGAGCTCACGGGGAGAGTCTGGCGGCACGTTCTGTGGTGTCAGGAGGCAGTCCAACAGGTACAGGATCATCTGTATCAATGTGATCTCAGGGATAGGGGTGATCCTCTTGAAGCCAAACTTGAGCTTCTCCAGACACACGGGCACGTACTTATCAAACAGAATCATCAGATTGGCCTTCTCGGACTGCACGGCTCTCTTCTCAATCCAGCTGGTCACCACACTGTTTGGGGATGGGTGAGCAGGGCTGCAGGGATCATGGCCCCCCCCATCCCATCCCATCCCATCCCATCCCATCCCATCCCATCCCACCCCACCCCACCCCACCCCATCCCACCCCACCCCATCCCATCCCTGTCCCCATCCCATCCCACCCCATCCCATCCCTGTCCCCATCCCATCCCATCCCATCCCATCCCCATCCCCATCCCCATCCCCGTGCTCACGGGCTCCAGCCCAGGTCTGCAGGGTTGATGTAGAGGATCCCTGCCCGGGACACAGTGGCCGGCGTGGCGGTGCGCAGGTGGCTGATCTCAAAGAGCAGCCGCATGGTGGGGTTGAGGGGGATGCGCTCATTGCTGGCCAAGGTGAGGACCTGGAGGAAGTGGCCTGTCACAGGGGCAGCTCCGATTTTGGGGAGCGGGCACAAAGAGGTTTATCATCCTCAGTTCACAAGCCTAGCTCCTTGGGCGCGATGGCACCAACCTTATTGTCATCCATGACCGTGTTCAGGGACTCGATCCACATGGGGTCAATATCACCATCGAGGATGATCCACTTGGGCCCCTTATGTGTGATGTTAGCCAGGTCTCGCATCGTTGAAGAAAACAGACCTGTCCATACAGAGACATGTGGGCTTTTCCTGCCCAGCTCTTCCTACTCAGAGCAGGTTTGCTGGGGCACACGCTGGGTCGGTGCTTCCCCTGCACACATCTAGGCTCCCTCCTCTCCCCATCCCCCCAGTAAAAAGCCCCAGGGCTTCCCATCGCTACCACGGCACCACGGACAAGATGCTCACAAGGATGCATCTCATGAGGGCACTTCCTATGTGTCAGCCCCTCGCTGAGGGGTTGCTGAGCCTGCTCCCACTCAGTGTAAGCGCCTTCCATAGAGCGGAGCCTGCCAGCTTTGGCCTCTCACCATCCTTCCACTCTCGTGTAGACGGATGGATGATTCCAAAGAGCTCATCGCAGGTCACAGCCTTTGGGTCGAGGTCCACAGTGACCGGCTTGCGCTTCATGTTGCGGTACGTCTTGTTGAGCGACCTCAGCACCTACGGGATGAGACTGCTGCAGTGGTGGTGGCAGCTCCTGTGGGGCCCTACAGCCTTCTCCCAGCTCCCAGCCCCCCTGGCTGTGTTCAGCTGCTACCTGGGACTTGCCGCAGCCGGCGTTGCCGATGACGAAGACAGAATGCCGCACCTGCAGCAGCTCCTCCAGCTGCACCACCTTCAGCACAAAGCTGTCCTCCGCCTGCAGCTTCAGCTCCAGCACCGACTGCTTGATGACCTGGGAGAGAGCAGGCGCTGATCCCCCTCCACCCCATCAGCCTCCCCCTGGCCCTCGCCCCCAGCACGCTGAGTCACCTTCTCAAAGTTCAAATCCCTCTTCCTGGGGACATCCAGAGCAGGGAATAGGTCCCCAATCAGCCCCATGAACACAGGCAGGTCGTCTGTCACGATCTTTGGGATGTTGAAGTCTCGTAAGGCTCTCATGAGGACCTGGTCCTCGGCACGGTTTGGGTCCCCCCTCTTCAAGGAGCCTGCTACCACCAGCACAGACTTGATTGCCCGCAGACCCCAGTCATAGTGATCCTGGCCAAATGGGCAACAAATATCATTTTGATGAGAGAGCTGCTTGAAACAAAACCACAGAGGGGATATCCTCTCCACCCCACACTCGGCTGTCTGCACAGCGCCCCGCAGACTGTCCCGGGGCCCAGGAATGGATGGCAGTCTGCCTTGCTTCCTGGGAAGCACATTTCTGTTGGCTTGTAAATCACTTCTGCTGAGATGTGGAACATCTGCATGCTCACATCTTAGCCAGCTGTATTCTATTCTATTTTGGAACTTCTTGATTTCTTCCAGAAGGCAGAAATACGCCGTGTGAGTGTTGAAGAGGGATTTGTTCAGTCACAGAGCTGGACTTTGCAAGCCAGCACATTGCCAACTGAGGGATCTCAAGCTGTCAGGGCTGAAATTCAGGTTAACTCTTTCCCTTAGAGAACCATGGATATTGTCCTGTTACCTGTTTAGACAGCAGCTCCTTGCAGAGTGTGTACAAAGTAATGAACTTCCTTGCTAGGAGCTTGGCATCAATAAAGCCTTCTGCAACCAGCATGATTTCACAGATGAGCTCGAAGTCTGGAACCACCATGGCACAGGGTCTGCGGAAGCAAAGCAGGTTAGCAGGGTGTTAGCAGCCACAAGCCATCAAGATTTGCACCCTGTTTTTCCATTCAGATCATGCACTGCTGCTGTTAGAATGACAAGCAAGTGGCAACCTCATGCAGCCCCCTGCGAGCCCCCATTACACAGCCAGGTGCTCTGAGCATCCTCCTGCAGCTGAGCAGCCCCACAGCTCTGAGCTGAGTGCTCCAGGAGCGTGGGGGTCTCTTACAGCAGGACCACCAGCATGCACAAGTGTCCTCGTGTACGTGAGCAAAGGCTTCAGTCCATGTCACAGCTGTGTCAGGTTAATGGTGACCCATCTGCCTGCCTGTACCTGAACAGAGCCTTTAAGTTTTCGGGCAGTTCTGTGCGTCCTGCATAGCCAGGGTTCATGGTGATGAACAGCCCGACCGATGGCACCAGCGAAATCGTCTCTCCGAGAAAATTGAACGTTTTCTTTTTGGCACGAATTGCATCCTGAACACATTTCACCTGGGCAGGGAGCAGAGGTGTCAGCGCTGCGGTGCTCGTGGGGCTGCTCTCAGCCACGTGAGAACCCAGGCACCATTCACCTCCAAGTGACAAGGAAAGGCACCCACCTGCACTGCAATCACCGACAGCACCTCCACCGCGATGCGATTGAACTCGTCAAAGCAGCCCCAGGCTCCGGTCTGAGCGAGGCCCTTGTAGATATTGCCACAGGACTGGAGAGCAAAGCAAAGGGAAGAGGCATCAGAGGCACCAAGCGAACCAAGCATCGGTTACAGAGCATGCTGTCAAGAGCTGCTCTTGTTTGGAGCTGGGAGCTGCTCCCTTGGGGAGCACTGCGCATCAATGCGGCAGCCCCCAGCTCCCAGCAGCTGCTGCCTGACCCCACAGCTCTCGTGAGTTTGGGAGTGCAGAGCAAGGTCCCAGCCCCTTTTCAGGGCACGGCTGTGGGAACTGCAGCACAGGCAGCGGTGCACCTGAGGGCTCTCCCCCCTCCCCTACCTTATAGTCCATCTGCTCAGAGCAGTTGAAGACGTAGACCATCATGCCCACCGCCCGGCCCAGGTCCTTGGTGGTTTCTGTTTTCCCGGTGCCCGCAGGGCCGGCAGGGGCTCCTCCCATGAAGAGATGCAGGGACTGCGTCAGGGTGATGTAGCACCTGGGGGGCGATGGTGGGGGCTGAGCACAGCAACACGGAGCCGAACTGGGACACGGGGAGCTGAGCCCTACCGGTCAGTCAGCGGGGTGATGACGAGCCGTGGTGTGTTGCCCAGGTACTCGTAGGAGTACTGCAGCTGTGCATCACAGATGTTGGCGTAGCAGTGCCTCTGGCCCTCGTCCCAGCGGTGCCGCAGCTGTGACTGCCATGCGAACTCCTGCGCGCTCTCCACCTGCGGAGCAGCCATCACCACCCGCTCCCCCCCACACCATTGGGGTGTTCCTTAGGGGGGGGTTGAGACGTTCCTTGGGCTGCTCCAACCCAGAACCTGGTCCCCCCAAAGAGATTCCATCCCCCTGCAGTGCTCCGGGTGCCTTTGCTTCCCCTCTGACCTCCTCGCACACTTTAGCTACTTTGCAAACTTTAGAAAGGGTAATAATGGGAGTAAAGCTCAGAGGTGCTGAGAAAGCAGTGAAAATATCATCTGGCGACCTCTACCTTTGTGAGGATCATTTTGGCCACGACGTCTCTGGCGTGCACGTCAATGGTGCAGATTGTCATGATCTTCATTCTGTCTCCCGCAGACAAGTTTCCAATGAGCAGTGAGATCAGTGCGTTTAGCTGAGTGATCTGAGGGAGAAGTGAGAAAGAGAGAAATTACATCATGCTTTCCTGCCCGTCTGCCTGACAGCAGCAGGGACTGCAGGATAGGGTCAGCGGGAGACAAACCTGCTTCTTGTTATAGTCCTTAATTGCATTTTCATAGCCCTCCTCCAGCCTTGCAAAGGCAATGCCGACTTCTGTGGTCCACCAGATCTGGGTGCAAGTCAGAGCAATCTGCAATCAATTAAGCAGACAGAACATCCATCAGTGGGTCAGGAGCCGGCCTCTCAGCCCAGCCCAGCCCTGTGGCAGCCCTACCTGTGCAGGGTAGTCAAACACCCACTGCTCCCGTGGCTTGTCCTCATAGCTGGCCACAGCCTCAGGGATCAGGTGCTGCAATGTGGAGCGCATGCTGTCCAGCACGCGGTTCAGCCACACCTCCACCTGTGTGAGTGGAACTGTGAGCATTTCCCAGCCCTGTTTGCTTCTGGCCACACGCAGGCACAGAACTGCCCTCTTGCTGCAGGCTCACAGCAGCCCACATGGCCAGAACCATCCCTTGGCTCTGCATGGGGACCAGAGCCACTGCGCTGTGCCCTGAGGAGGGGGCATCAGGGCAGGGAGAACCAATTAATGCATGCCTGGTGCACGCAGCTGCTCGCCCTGTACACCGTGCTGGTGCACACTCAGGGCTGAGCGCCGCTCTCCCCGCTTGATAAAAAGCTGCATGAAAGCCCCCAGTATACAGCCCCCCCCTGACAATACGAACTGCAGGTTATGGGGGTGAGCAGACAGACCGTGCTGCAGAGGGGCTGCACAGCTCAGTGCTTTTACATTCTCCATTGCTGCAGCTCTGTTCTACGTTTCCTCTTAGCCCGGACCCCACAGCCCCCACCCCACATGCAGCAGCTCCCAGCCCCTGCTGACCTGCCCTGACAGATCGCACTCTGCATCCAGCGGCACAAACTCCTCCTCTTTGCTGAACATCCCCATGGCCACCTTCAGTGGCTTTTTGTCTGGGCTCATCTTGAACTTCAGCTTAGCGAGACTGTCAAACAGCTTCGAGAGGTGACGGGACACCTGTGGGCAGCAGGGGAAGGAGCCCCATTGAGGTCAGAGGGCGTTTTGCAGCTCAGAGTGCTGCATCCCCGTGCCCCGGTGGGTCAGAGATGCTCTTCAGTTCGGAGATTTAAGACACCTGCAATACGTCAGGATGTGAGAGGGATGGGATGTGCCTCCTGGCTTGTGCTCAGCCCATACCTCAGCTGGCTCATTCCCGTTAGACAGAATGTCAAGCAGATCCGCAGAGGAAATGAAGTAGAATCTGGGGAAGGCCAGTCGCTTTGTCTCCAGGTACTCAGCCAAAGCCTTCTCACAGACCGCCAGTCTGGAAGCAAGAAGGAAAAAAAAATAGCTAAAAAGGTGTACTCATTTTTAGCATTTGCAGAGTAATGATGTTAAGTGAGATGACGCTTCGGCTGCTGGGGAAAGCAAACTTCTCCTTTGGCCTTAGAACAGACTGTGAGGTTTCTCCACAACGCTTCGTCAGGATGACCCAAACCCACCTCTTCTGCAGTGCCTCCAGTTTGCCAAAGAGACCGGGTTTGTTGGTAGCTTCGATGACATTGGGGGTTTTTACTGCGTCGGCCATCAGTTCCTGCAAGACAAAAAGGACTGGGCTGTACCTGAAGCAGCAGTGAGCTCTGGGGCGCAGGAAGGGTCGGGCTTCTCACTCTGAAGTCCTTATCGATGGAATCAAACTTCCTGGAGTCCTCTGGCAGCTGGCTGCGGATGTCTTCAGAGCCGATGAAGATGCTCTCCAGGTGACTCCACGTCCTCTGCACCTCAAACAAGATGCTGATCACGGAGTCGGCGGTCGACAGCTTCTGCTGCCAGCCCGACACTTCCTGGAGGAAGAAGGCGAGGTACTTGGAGGCCATCAGGTTCTGCAGCTGCACTTGGTTGTCCTCCAGCGTCTCGATGAGCACTTCGTCCGACTTGAGGAGCATCATGCCCGTCCTGGAGTGCGGCTCGTGCTCGAACTGCATTGTGGCCCATGTACTGTCCAGAGTGCTCAGCACCTTCAGTGTGAGAAATGGGCACGAGTTGCAGGGGCCGCATGCTGCTGTGGGGGCTCTCCGTAAAGCAGGTGCAAACCGAGCAGGGATCCATTACCGTACCTTCTCCATCCCCGACTCCTTCACAGCTTTGTCCACGATGCCACGAACCTCATCCTCAAACTTGTGCAGGTTCAGCTGCAGCAGATCCGCCAGGGTTGTGTCTTTGGACATGGTGAAGTTCACCTGTGGCAGAACCGACATTGTTGGGCACGGCCCCCCGGTGCAGCCTCCCCTCTGTTGGCCCGGAGCAAACCTTGGTTGCCTGCATGAGCTCATGCCAGTGTCGATCCCTGATGGCCGGGTTCTGCAGCTCATTCACAGCACGCAGGGACGTCATCATGTTCTTCACATTGTTGTCCAGCCCTGTGAATGCATCCCAGCTTCTCATCTCCTTATCCAAGCTTCGAATGTCTTTAGCAAATTTCTTGCAGTCGATGTCCATCTGCTCCACGTTGATATCCTTCCATCTGGTGGTTTTCCAATCATCGATGCTCGTGTTGACCTGCAGTCGGGAGGACACTTTCAGAGGACACGTGCACACAGCCCAGTGCACAGAGCAGAACGGCGGCGCCCTCTGCGCTGCACTGCCTTGCAGAGTACAGCACATACCAGCACAATCATGTCCCAGAGCCGCTTCAGCAGTCGCACATCCCTGTGGCACGCTTTGAGCTGCTTGTACTCCGGGACGGCCACTTCAAACAGCCCGGCTGACTTGGACAGTGCAGCCATGTCACTCTCCATGGCAGCAATGCTCCTCTGTTGCTGGAGGAGACAAGGAAAAGGGCTCAGTCAGTGACCACGTGCCCATCCCTGGGGATGCGTGTCCTGCCCTGTGGACAGCGCTGTGCGGTGGCTCTCCTTTCTGGAACTGCCCAGCAGTGCAGCATGGCCAGGCATCGCCCTCCCTACCTTGCTGAGGGATCTGTAGGGCTCCGGGTCAGTGTAGGAGAAAGGGGCTTTTTCGCGGAACTTCTCCCTGAAGGCGTGCTGCTGGGCCTGCAGGACACAGAGGGGTTGGTGTATGGGGGGCACGAGGGTCATCTGGAGCCACCATTTTGTCCCCGCTCCCCCCAGCGCTGCACCTCAAACTGCTGGCATTTCCTGCGGATGATGTTGACCTCGTTCGTTTGCAGAGGTGCCACGTTCTGCTTCACGTGGAAGGAGAGCTTCTTGGTGTTGTCCCACTGCTCGGGCAGCTCCTGCATCATACACGGCATGACAGCCCGCCCCACGAGCCCGTGCCTCACCCCGCACCCTGAACCACTCACCTGGAGCTGCTGGTGCACCTCCTCGGGCATCTCCTCCCCAAACATACTGAGCAGTGCAATGGTTTCCTTCAGGGGCCCAAACATGCCATCGGTGGCTGCCTGTCGGTCCTTCACCCTCAGCAGGTGCCCCATCACCTCCACCAGCCCATCATAATCTCCCTCTTGCACCGGCTTGCTCAAGCCAGCAGTGGTTTTCTTGATGAAGGCTTCCAGCTCCTGCAGGCTGGGTGCAGATGGGGTCTCAGAGGGGCTCGGGGTGCTGTGCCCCCCAGCAGTGCCATCCCCTATTACCTGCTGGTGACGTGGTCGGTGAGGTGCTGCCGCAGTGCCTGGCCCCGGCTGCGTGCAGCGCTCAGCAGCATCTGCTTGAAGGGGCGGCAGTCGCTCTGCAGCCACCCCCCAAACACCACAGTGCTGGCAAAGCCCGACACCTCCTGGCACAGCTCCTCGCACGCATTGATCTGCGGGATGGAGTCAGTCACAGCCCACAGCTGACAGTTCCCAGGCACCGTGTGTCCCCACATCCTCCCCGTACCTCCTCCTGGAAGAGCTGCAGCGATGGAAGTCCCTCATGTGAGGGACCCTCGGGTTGTTCAGGGCTGGGGGAGCTCTGGAAGGTGAGGAAGTGCTGCAGAAACTCTTCGGGGCCCTCAAGCCACAGCTCTGCATACTGCTCGAAGCTGGCGCAGTGCTCCATGCCCTCGGCCATAGCATCGGCTGCCAGCGACATCACCTCCTCCCGCATCCTGCTGAGCTCCACCTCCTCCTCCAGCTCAGACTGTGGGGATGGCACAGCTCCAGGCACAGCCTGCGGCTGCAGGGGTGCACTCGCCCCTGGGAACCCACCTTGTAGCTCAGCTTCCCCTGCAGCAGCCGGGGTATGCACGTTGCACAGCCGTAGATGTCAGCCAGCAGGTCCTCCAGCAGCTTCAGGAAGCTGTTCTCATCCGTCACATCCAACGAGGGCCGGAACCCCACCGCGCCATCACACAGCTCCATGCACACCTCGAACAGCGGGGCCACGCGCGCCTGGAAGAGAGCGGCACCTGAGTGTTCCTATGGACCCCACGCGGGGATGGAACAGCCGCACCACTGAACAGAAGCCCCAGGGGGAGGAACAGCGCGTGGGGGTGAACGTGGGCACGGAGTGGCAGAGCAAACCTGGACGTACATTGGGGGCCATGTTGGTGAGCAGCAGCTTCAAGGATTTGTGAACGAGTACGAAGAGCCCATCCAACACCACTGTGTCAATGTATTTTAAGTAGTCCAGCCAGATCTGCGATGACGTATCAGCCTTGAACAGCTCTGCATTCTCCTGCAAGTCAAAGGAAACCAACCCAACGTTGGTCAATCATTGCACAGCAGGCGCCCCGGCTCCCAGCACTTTGCAGATAGGTGCCCTGTGCTCAGCTGGTTCTGCTGGAAGCACCCCGGGCTGGGCACACCTGCACCATGGCCTCAATCCTGCTGCTCGCCTCCCGGATGGCTGCATAGCGCCGAGCCACATTGCTCGCCCGCCCATCCAGGTCCAGCAGTGCTGCCTCCTTGTTGTCCTTCCTCTCGAACACGGGAGTGGCTGAACACTCCTGCACAGCACAGGGTGCCAAAAGGTAAATCCTGCAGCGTGCACAATGGGGGCAGCATGGCTACAGCAAGCAGCCAGAGCGCCTACCTCCATGAGCTGGCTGATATTTTCCACGTTTAGCTTTGATTTCTGCACTCTGGTGTTTAAGTCATACAAGATCTCTCTCATCTCCTGAATGTATTCCATCACACCTAGGAGGGAGGAAAATGCAGATGACACGGCTCAGGCAGATCTGGGTGCAGGAAGGGGATGGCATTTTGGGCATGGAGATGGGGGACGGTCCCCCCAGGACCCACAGCTCCCATCTGCAGGGCCTGCGTCACTCATACCATCATGGTTCCAGCACAGGGTCTGCTCTGCAGTGACCAGACGGCCGTCGATGGCCTCCAGCTCCGCTGCCACCAGTGGGAGCTCCACAGGCAGCGCTGTCTGCTTCACCTGCAAGAGGGCCAGCCCTGTGGTCACCAGGTACTCCCTGTCTATAGGTACCTGTCTATAGCTTCTCACACCTCCCCACGAGCTCCCCAGAACCCGACTGGCACTCAGCAGGGCAGCACCTGGGACACGGACCAGCACCAACACCAACCACTTGCCTTGTTGTACCAGCCTGTCATGAGGTCCAGGTTGTCCACAAACTTCTGTAAGGTCTCCTTCTGTGCAAAGAGTTTCTCGGCACCGACTGGGATGTCCTTCTGCTTCTGGAAGCCCAGGTACTTCACCTCCCGCAGGACAGCAGTGAGCTGCAAGAATACACCATGGGGGAGACAGTGCTTGTTAGGAAAATGCAAAATGTTTGGTGGTATGTAGGACCAGTCTGCATCCAAGTGCATCACTGCTGGCATCACCTTCCTGTTGAAGTTCACACTGATGAGGGAGGAGCTGGGGTCCCTGAGGATCAGGGGCTGCTCCAGGTGGAAGAGGCAGTCCTGGTCAGCCCTGCTCGCCCATACTGCATACACCTGCTCACAGTAGCCCTGCAGAAGCTCCATCATTTCTTCATATTTCCCAGACACCAGTGTGGCCTCAGGGCTGGTCATCGCACTGTCAGAGGCACAGCAGACAGCTGCCATAGCTGGGACACATCCTGCCCCACATCCCCATAGCGCTGGGGCTGAGTCTCACGTACGGGTGGTTGATGGCAAAGAGCTCCTGGTGCATCCCATGCAGCCTCTCCTGCAGCTCCAGCGCCCACTGCAGCTGCCCGGCCACCGGAGGCATGTTGGTATGCACAGGCACAGCAGCACCAGCACGTGTCCACGTGTCAAACAGTCGCTTCACATCGTCCAGCTCAGCACTGAATGTGGCCAGCAGCCCCGAGCACTGCGGGGACACGTCGGCACGGAGCAGCGGGCGCTCCAGCAGAGAGGAGAACATGTGCACCAGCTGAGGGGGGAGAGCACGTGCACCAGTTGAGGGGGAGGAATGTGCTCCTCCTGTACCCACGGCACCGCTGCGGGTCTGAGTGCCAGCAGCACCCAGTGCCCACCCCCACCTGTGGGCACCACGCACCTTCATGGCCGACCCCAGGCTATTGCAGTCATCAAAGCCCTGGCACAGGATGGTGGCCATCCGCCTGTCCAGGTCCTGAATCTTGCTCTGGAACTCCGTAAAATCCTGGTTCAATTGCTGCCAACGACAAGGCGGTGCTCAGAGCAGGCGCAGCACCAGAAGCCTCAGGAGGGTTCGCTCAGCCCCGGAGCCCGTGGTCATCCCCAGCGCCAGCACAAAGGCGACGAATTTTACACGCAGCCTTCCAGCAAGAGGTGATGCAAACTTTCCATCCCAGCACCCACTCACCTCGTCCTCGGGATCCAAGGGATCGTATTTACAATCAGCGAATTCTTTGGTGAGCTCGGAGACCTCCTCATAGATCTGCAGCACCTGGTGCCCCAGGATGTTCCCCTTCACCCCGCCCAGCTCTGCTTTCTCCAGCTTCAGGAACTCCATGGCCGTCTCATACAGCTCCTGCCAAGCAAAAGCAGTGCTGCATTTTGCACCCATGTTCCCACCTCTGTGCCCACAGAGCTGCATTCTCACCTCAATGATCTTCAGCCGGTGCAGGAAAGCATCCAACCTCCTGAAGATGAGGGAGCGAGGGAACTCCCAGAGCTGTGGCTCCTTCTCCTGGGGAGGGATGAGGCTGTCAGCACAGTAGGGTGTGCGAAGGAGGACCCACACCATCCCCACACATGCCGTGAACAAGGAAGGCAGCAGGTCAGAGCAGCAGTGGTTGTAGGATTGGAAGAACTTCTCGATGGTGGAAATGCTCAACTTGATGTTCTCCAAGGTCTCATCAAGCTCTCCTTGCAGCCCCTTCATCACTTCCTCGGGACTCAGGAAATTTCGGGTCTAGGATGAAAAAAAGCCACCGTGGGCAGGAGGAGCCCCTGGAGCACCTGGTGGTTCCCTGCAGCCCAGCACACCAGGCACGAGGCTCTGCTCCCTGAGCCACCCCCCATACCATCTCAATGAGGAGGTTGCAGATCTCCTGCAGGATGACGATGACGCGGGACGGTGTGCTGTAGTGCTCAGAGTGCACCCAGGTGAGGCAGACGGTGTACAGCACTCTGTCAATGTATGGCCGCAGCTGTGGGAGCAGAGCCCTGTCAGCACGGGGACACAGCAATGCTGTGCCAGGGGTGAGCACCGTGCTGCTGTTCCTCCACCTGGAACTCACCTGGAAGTAGTCTGCCTGCTCCATCTCTTCCAGTAGGATCTGCAGCGGCTGAAGGTAGAGGCTGATGTCGTTGGCTTCCTGCAAGCCTGGCGCAGGTGAGAAACGGCGTGGGCACCTGGGATGCTTCGTGCAAATATTGGAGCTCACACATCACCCAGAGCCTCACCTGCACTGACGTCCCTGAACATGGCCTGCAGTGCCGGCCAGTAGCAGCTGTCAGCCTTCTCCAGGATCTCAGCCAGGGCCGTCACCCGCGGCGAGAGCAGCTGTGGGGGGCGCACAGATGAGCTCAGGTAGGGAAACAGCCTGGCCACCCCCGGCACGGCCGTACCTGTTCATTGATGCACTGCAGGTGGAGGCTCCTGGTGCGCCAGAACTCAAACTCTGCCCTGGGCAGAGGGTGCAGCCCTTCCAGCAGCGGCTGTGCCGAGTCCTTGTTCAGGATTTCCCTGATCTGGTGAGACCAGTCGATGACGATTGTCTCGATGGAGTGCAGCGTGGAATTGTCCACCGGCTCCTCCAGGCTGGAGGACAGCTGGGTTACAGCCCCAAACAGCTCCAGGAGCCCCACAGTCATCCCCAGCCCTGCCCGCCTGGGGCAGCCGCTCCCAGGGCCCTGGAGCACAGCCCTGCTGCCAGATGCCTGCCGTCCATCTGAACAGAGCGCAGGTCAGCGTGGGCAGCACAGGGCCAGGAAAGAGCCATCCCCATTCCCACCGCTGCGTGCAGCAGCTCCCGGTCCTCCCCAGCACCCACCACTCCAGCACCGTGCGGGTCCCATCGCGGTCATCCAGGTGCTCAGGCATTGGCAGCAGTGGTTTCCCCTGGATCTTGCCGCCCATCACAAACATGTCGTTCCTCAGCCTGCAGGCACGGCGTGCGATGTCCTCTGCCACCACACCGGGACAGCTTGCCAGGTGCTCCTCACTCAGCAGCAGGGAGCACACGACCTGTGGGACACGGCCTCCTGAGCCTTCTGCTCAGCGTGGGCAAGGCCTTGGGTGGGCTCTGAGGGATTCCTCTAATCCCAGCTCTGGGAGCAGCTCCTGCCCTGCACTGGGCTTTGGGTTCGTGCGACTTGTGGCAATGAGTGCACAGAGTAGGGAGTCAGTGCACTAAGGGTGCTGTTGTTTGGGAAGAGGGATCCCACACAGAAATATGAAATGCCCTCTGACAATTCCCAGGTATGGGGAATTATAGTTTTTAAACAACAAGGGGACCCAGGAGAGCCCCCCTTCTTGTGTCTGGCACCAGCTCTGTGTCCTGGTGGGGAACCCCGAAGTGAGCACAAGGATTTTCATGGAATCAGAATGGCCTGGGTTGAAAAGGATCTCACCAACCACCAGACCAGGCTGCCCAGAGCCACATCCAGCCTGGCCTCGAATACCTCCAGGAGGGGGGCATCCACAGCCCCCTTGGGCAACCTGTTCCAGTGCATCACCACCCTCTGTGTGATCCCTTTAATGTCCCCCAGCTGCTTTCACATCCACCTCCGATTCCAGCGGCGGGGAGCCCAGGGCCACCCACCTCCTCCACCACGGTGATCAGCTGCTCCACCGGCGAGGGGCTGATGTCCCCCACCAGCAGGGCAGCCCTGCAGTTCTCCTGCGTGATGTTCTCCTTCTTCCTCTTCACGAAGTAGGTGCCCTTGGCTTTGAGGGCGGGGGGGAAGCAGGCGGTCGCCTGGAGCTGCCCGGCGGGGCTCAGCGCCAGCACCAGCTCCGGCACGTCCGGCTGCCTGAAGAACTCGTCCAGCATGGCCCTGGCCTCCTCACTGTCCTGGAACTTGTTCCACCTGTCCGGCCGGAGCTGCAGCAGCTGCATGGTGAAGCTCTCAAGGAAGCTCCATCGCTCGTCCGGCGCTGACATCCCGGCGGCACCGCGCTCGGCCGCGGAGCTTCAACGCCTGCGGGGCGCACAGCCCTGCTCAGCCCTGCTCAGCCCTGCTGCCCGGACCCCCGCCCCCCCTCCTGCCCTCAGCCTTCTCTCGCCGCATCCCCGCACAGCTGCCGGCCCCGGCCCTTCCAACCCAACACCCCCCAGGCTCCCACCCTGCCCTATTCCCCCCCCCGTGCCGTCACCCACGCCGCCCCGTCCCTTCTGCCCCGTCCCTATCGCACCCGCAGCCCTCCGACAGCCTCCAGACGCCTTCCGCAGCCCTACGAGCACCGGCTCCGACTGGCAACGGCTGCAGCCCCAACCGACGCCGGCACCAGCCCCAAACCGACGCCAGCTGCGGCCCAACTGCCTCACGAGCGCGGGGCTGCCCCAATAACCCCCGGCTGCCGTCGGGAGGGGTCGATTTCTCTCCTCCCCCCAGCTGGACGCAGGTCCCCGTGAGCTGTGATGGGGACCAGGAGCCGCCCCCTCCTCGCCCCGCAGCTCCCCAAAGGGCGGCACGAGGGCTCGACCCCAGCCCACAGCAGCAGGAGCCGTCCTGCCCCGCGGTCCCTGCTTCCCAAAACCTCAGGACTGGGACGTTGCACGGCCCAGACCCCCGCAACAAAGCCCAGGAAGACAGGAATTGAGCGCAGTTCGGTGTTTATTGGCTGCAGATCCTCAGCAGTTTACAAAGCCGTGGCAAAAAAAAAAAAAGGAAAAAAAAAAAAGGAAAAAAAAAAAAGAATACAAAATCCTGCCACACCGCGCCCTCCAGAGAGACCTCTGCACAGAACCCCAACATACAAAATAATCTAAAAGGAGAAAACTATACAGGAATATTTACACCTCTGATAAATAGACTAATACTGATCCAGGTGCCTCTCCGGACCTGTGCGTGTGGCTGGGGAATGGGACGGCCGTGGTGCTCGTGGGGCCACATCCTGATTGCAGCCATCCTTGGTGCAGTCCTGCCTGGGAACAGGGGGGCTCACGATGGCCGTCCCAACCCGGCACCAAGGGGCTCATGGCTGCAGGATGTGGCAAGGCAGCACCAGCCCAGTGCCATCAGACTGCAGCCTCACCCAGCTCTGGCACCTCATGGCTGGGGAGGGCACCCCAAGCCCGCTACAACGAGGGCCAGGAGTGCTGCCACTGCCCCAGGGCTGCCCCCCATGCCTCCAGCACCCCACAGCCACCAGCCTTCTTCTCCAGGATGGGACACCTCAAGTGCTTCAGGACACGAGTGCTGGGACCCAGAAGCATGTCCCCAACATGGGGTCCCTGGATTCCCCTTGATCTGGCTCTTATTCTGCCCATTGGCTGCAGCTCAATGCTGCCCAGGGCTGGAAGCTGCTCAGGGGGAGCTCAGCGGGGGAATGCTGGACAAGCATTGGGCTGCCAAGGTGGGAAGGGAGAGCGATGTGCACAGGTGGCACTTCCCATCCCACAGCCAACCCCAGGACTGCGTGCAGGGGAATCCCAACTGCAGCCTGGAGCTGTCTGGAAGTGAGGTGGCAATGGCACCGAGACGCCCTTGCTCTTTCCCTCCCCCCACGGTAAAGAAACTGCAAAGCTGAAGCTGGGTCCTGGCCCCACGGCCGTGCTGAGCCCCAGCCCCGCAGCCCTGGGGATGGGAGGTATGGTGCTGCCTGGGGCACGGCGGCCTCGCCGGGCTGCTAATGCCTCTTGGTGGAGGAAACCTTCTTCTTCCTGGCAGCCAGCATCTCGTAGAATGGGTCCCGGCTGATGGCTGCCCTGGTGGGGGAGCATGGCGAGTGTCAGCCAGCAGCTGTCCTGCTGAGGACAGCCCCCCTTTGCACCCCATGCGAAGCCCTTTCCCCCCACCACTCCCCATGCTGAGAGCAGGGCATGGCCCCCAGAGCGCTCACTTGATGCACTTGATCCACTCCTCCTTCTCCTCAGGTGTGGGGGCTGAGATGCGGTACACGGTGTGGTTGCCCTCCACCACCCGCCCGTCCGCCTCCGTCTTGCACGCCTTGATTACCTGGTCCTTGTTGTCTGGGATGTAGAGCTCAAAGCAGTTCTGCAGGGAGGAAATCCTTCAGACACAGCCCCCACCCCGAGGGCAGTGGGGCACCCCGGGCTGGGGGGACGATGCAGAGCCGTGGGGCTCCCAGCACATCCAGCTCAGCAGGATGAGGACATGCTGTGACATCACCCCACAGCTGTGCCCTGCCACCACAGCAGGGCCCTCTGGCTCTCCCTGTCCCACCCTCCCCAGGTGCCCCTCCAGCCTCGCAGGATCCTGCCTGGCACTCACGGGTTTCTTGGAGTCCTCCACCTCACGGATGCTCAGGTTCTCCAGGGGGATGATGCCACGTGGCTCTTTATCCTGATGGGGCCAAGCAGAGGTTTTCATTAAAGACACCTCCAACTCCTTCCCAGTGCCCCTTAAGAAGGGTTGAGCGCTTCCAGCACTCCATCCAACACTCCCTGTGCAGAGGCTGCCCGCACTGCCCAGCCCTAGTCTGCATCCCAACCCCTAGGGCCATGGTGCAGGGCGCAACACCCCCCAGAGGTCCCCACCCCGCACCCACCGCTCTGCCCCAACCCCTGCTCAGGTCACTGACCGTCGTGTATTCAAAGTAGTAAAGGCAGTTGTCTGTCAGGATGAACCAGCGCCGCTTCCACGTCTTCACCCTTCCTCCTGGGAGCAGAGAGAGGAGGTTGGGGCAGCCCTGGTGCCGCCGCACAGCACGGCACGGCTGCAGCCCACGCGGACGCACACAGACAAGCAGAGGCAGGCAGCCCAGAGCGCCGGGCGCAGAGCAGCAGGCAGCACACAGCACGCCGGCAGAGCACGAGCGGAAAGCAGGCGGATGAGGATGGAGACAGAGGGCGGTGGGAGGGCAGGGATGGGAGCGCTGCTGTGCCCGTTTGCACCAATAAAACGCTGATGTGCAGGCAGAGGGTGCCGCAGCTCAGAGGGGCTGCAGGCCACAGCCAGCCCTGCAGCACAGCCCGCTGCCAAGGCAAGGCAGAGCTCAGCGCTGCAGCATGCAAACTTTGGCCAGAGAGTTCTACACCCACCACTGCGAAGGCAGAGCGCTCCCCCCCAGGCTCACAGAGTGCTGCAGTGCTGGGCCTGGCTCTGCCCTCACACCCCCAGCACGCTCCAGGCACTAGCTGCTCTGCTCAGCGCTGTGCTATGGGTGCCAGCCATGCTGCCCAGGGTGGGCACAAAGAAGCAATGTGTGCGCAAAGGGAATGTGCTCATTTCTTCTCCCTCTGTTCGGCTCTGCAGGAAGATTCCTGCCTCACATCCCCCCACGCCACCCTCCTGCCCACCCATTAACCCGACCACAGACAGTGCCCGCTCCTGAGAAAGCCTCCACACCCCATTCCCTGCCCCAAAGCCAGGCCAGGGCTGGCATTTCCCAGTAAAGCCCCCCCTCCCCTGCTCACCTTGAGCCAAGCCCACCCAACAGCTCGAGGCTCGATGCCCTCCAGCCCCCACCTCAAGAAACTCCAGCTCTTCCCAAGCCCTCCTTGCAGGCTACAGCCTCACCAGGTGACAACATGCCAGAGCTCTGGAGGAGGAACCGTGTGGCACCGAGAACCAGCCCTGGGGCTGGCCAGAGTGAGGGGCCAGCGCTGCCCAGCTGGGCTCTGTGCTCCCACAGGCTGAGCCAGGGCAGCGCCTGTGCCCAGCACCAGGACAGCCACGAGCTCCAGCATGGCACAGAACTCTGCACATAAACTCCCACCTGCTCCCTGCACCCAGCCAGCTTCAGGCACGCAGGCTGGGCCCTTCCCGGATGCCCTGAAACACCACAATCCCAGCCCCATCCCTCACGGTACTGGAAGCAACGACCAGTTGTGGATGGGTCTGAGGGCACACCAGCACCTCGGTGAACAGTGGTCACTGCCCCATTTGTCCTCAAGATGGGACTCAGGGCAGCAGAGGGAACCGGGAGGCCTCGGGGAGCGTTCGGCATCGGAGGGACCAGCAGCCACGTCCCTGCCCTGGTGGCTGCGGGTGCGGGGCTGCCCCCTGCAGGCAAGGTCCCCCCGGGCAGTGCGGTGGTTAGCAGCAGCAGCAATGAGACTAATCGCCAGCAATTAAAAACGAAAAGGAAACAAAGCCCCAGAGGCATGAGCAGAGCAGGGGATAGGGGTACGTACCTCCTGGAGTTGGGGGGCAAGGAAAGGAAGAGCCAAAATCATGGAAACATACAAATGAGGGAAAAAAGAAAATTAAAAAAAAAAAAAAAAAAAAGGAAAAATAAAAATAAAAAAGAGGAAAACCCCGAAGAACCCCCCTCGCCCCGCACAGAGCCATGTGTGTCAGCGGGACAGGGCTGCAGATGGGGAGCTTTGAGGGGACGGGCCAGCGGCACCACCACGGGGATAACAGGATAACATGCCCTGGCTCTGTGGCTGTGCCCCCCCTCCCTCTTACCCACGGCCCCAAGAGGGCTCAAAGGTGCTGGGGCTCATGGGCTCTGCTACACTGTTGGTGTCCCTGGCTCTGAGCAGCCCCAACCCTCGTGCCATGGGACCCTTCCACCAGCAGAGCGCTGGGATCTATGGGGACACAAGAGGCAGGGGCCAAGGGTTCTTCATGGCCCCTCATGCCCCCATCCCACAGCTGGGGAGCAGTTGGCGCTTTGTTCAGAGCCCAGGCAGGGCTCCGTGCCGCTCATTGCACAGAAAGGGTCCTGATCCCACCTCACAGGGGTGGCAACAGAGCAAAAACTCCCCCCAGTGAGAGGACAGAGCCCCAACTTCAGCAAGAGCCCAGGGAAAGGCCCTGCAGCCCCTGCTCCTGCCAGCACCCCCCCTCCTCGCTCAACCCGGGCAGAGGTCCCCAGGTGCCGCCGAGATGAGAAGCTGCAGGAGCCAGGGTGTGGGGCAGGCTCGTGTCTGCGCGCTGGGCTGTGCAGCGGGGATGCCATGCACGCTGCCTGCATGTGGAGCCGGGATGCAGAGGTGATAATGCTGTGGGAAGGTGAGGCAGGGACCGCTCTGAGGCATGGAGGGGACACGCAGCCCGGGGGCAGCTCGCCGTTCGCTCCCTGGGGCTCCAATGGGACCCTGCTGTGCCCCAGTGCTGTGCAGAGCCCCCCAGCTCTGTGCTCTGACACCAGAGCCGGCACCAGCTCAGCACAGCAGCCTCGAGGCAGAATCCCTCTGGGAGCCCACGTGGCTGCAGCAAAGGGTCTCTCCAGCAGCAGCTCTGCTCCTGCTGCTCAGTGCGAGGCCGATGGAGGGACAGAGGTAAGGACACCGTCCCTGGGGGCTGTGCTCATGGCTGCAGCCCCTCATCCCTTGGCAGGGCTGTGCTCCACAAAGCCAGGTGCAGGCAGTCTGTGGGCATCACACTCGTGGTTCAGCCCAGTTCCTGAGGCAGAGCTCACTCTGCACCCATCTGGTTGCCAGCACTCACCCAGCTTCAGCAGCCAGCCCTCCCGGTCGGGGTTGAAGAAGGTGTGGGTGAGGTCATTGCCATCATCCTCTGGGATTTTGAAGGGTTCATTCTTGATGCTCTCATAGAGATTCTGGTACAACCACACACGGTGTCACCTCTGTGAGCCCGCTGTGCCCCAGCCCTGAACCCTGGCATCCCATCCCTTACCCGCAGCAGCTCCTCAGGCAGGTCCCCCCCATCGTTGATGCCACGGTTCATGGCAATAAAGCGCTCTGCTGTGGGTTTGTCCTTGACGTTGGGGTTGTGCAGGCTGGTATTCAGCATGATGATAGCGAAGGAGAGCACATAGCAGGTGTCTGTGGGGACAGAGGGGACGGTCAGGTGCAAGGCAGGGCATGGAGCTGGGCACAGGCCTGGAGTGTGCTCACCTGTGGACTGGAAGACGCCGGGGTTGCACTGGCAGTACCGCTGTGCAAAGGCCTCCATCATCCGATCGATCTTCTGTGCCTCTCCTGGCAGCCGAAAGCTCCACAGGAACTGCCTGAGGACAGCAGGCACAGCACTGTTTTGGGGCTCTGTGCACCCTCCCACCCTCAGGGCCTTGCAGGGCACACGGCTCACAGCCCAGCCCCGCTCGGTCCCCGGCTCACCGCAGTGCCTGGACGAGGTTGAGGTCCGTGAACTCGTGCAGCTCCACGAAGGCATGCAGGACTTGGATGTTGAACTCATCCCTGCAGGAACAAAGCCAGAGCACGAGGTGTGTGTGATCAGCTGGGTCCTGTGACTGCCATGCTGCCCCGCTCTGCTCTCTGCTCCTCTCAGGGTAGGGAACTTGTGGCTGTGGCCATCCTACGGCCCGGTTTGCACACAGCAGCCCCTCCAGGAGCCCAGCCACAGAGCTTGACACTCAGCAAGGGGCCAGAGCCTGATGTCCTGCTAGGGGCCCTGGAACCAGCTCAGCTGCACCCTGCAAGGGCTGCACCATCTCCTCCTGCACAGGACCGAGCTGCTCCAGGCCTTGCATACCTCTCACCCAGGTAGTCCCCAATGGCTGTTTTGTTGAGGCCCTCTCCCTTGTAGAGGAACTGAGCGATATCCTCACACGTGTTCTTCAGCAAGTCGTTCTCAATCAGGAACTGGATGCCCTGGAGCAGAGCAAGAGGCATTGCTTTGGGTCGTGCTTCCAACCCCATTCCATTCCCTGCTCCTGGCTCTGCTCGGCTCAGCACCCAGACCATGGTGTGCAGCACACCCTGCCGAGCCTGGTGCCAGTCCCCAGTACCTTCTTGGGATCCATGTTGAACTTCTTCCTGCCCATTGCCACCTGCTTGTTTCTCTGCATGTTTTTCCTGCAGGACATAAAACAGCTTTGAGCATCAAAGAGAGTCATAGAAAGGTTTGAGTAGGAAAGGTCATGAAAAATCACCCAGTTCCAATCCAGGCTGGAGATGTCTCCCACCAGACCAGGCTGCCCAGGACCCCATGCAGCCTGGCCTCGGGTACCTGCAGGGATGGGGCACCCACAACCTGTGCTAGAGAACTGCCCAGAAAAGTTCAGGAGCCCTGGTTTCCTCCTCCCAGCCTCTTGCCCCGTGTAGATGTGAGCAGAAGCAGAGCTCCTCAACCCATGACAGGCTCCCCAGCACCAAACTGGGCACAACCTGCACAAACTGGGGAAAATGCAGCACCTGGCACTCAGCTCCCCTCCTGCTCCACTCTGATGCTGCCAGGCCCTGAGTATGGAGCTGCCCTGGGTTTGCACTGTGCAGACCATTCCAGCAGCCTCCTTTTGCCTGAGAAGGGGCAGCCTGGCATTGCAGCGGGGCTGTGGGGACAATGTGAGGGCAATTGGAAATGACACAGCGAGTCAGCTCCCACCAGGACCCCTTAATCCCATGCTGGCACTGCTTGCACCAGCCCAGAATAACAAAGTCTGTCAGTCTCTGTGGCCAGACAGGGGATGAGCCTTGGAAAAACAGACTTCTGGAGGAACAATTCAGTCTGGGATCCTGCAACTGCACTGAGGAATTAGAAATGTCTGGGAAAGCCACACGCAGCAGCACCCATGGGACAGGCCAGCAGCACAGCACGGCTCACCTCTCCTCTGTGGAGCCCAGGTTCTCGATCTCATTCGTCACTTCTGCGATCTCATCTTTCAGCCGCTGAGTGGAGAGAGCACACAGTGAGCCAGGGCCTGCCTTCCTCCCACCCCCAGGTGCCCAGGAGAATGCAGGGCACCCCACAGACTGAGGTGGGGATTGTGCCAGCCCTAGAGCTACTCCTCCCACAGGCCCCAGACCCCCATGTCTCCCCCTGAGTTCTGTCCTGGGGCTGAAGCAGCTCCTGGGGCACTGGACAGAGGGGAACCGATTGCACCCCGCTGCTAATCCCCCCGCAGCACTGCCACACTCTGTGCATGAAGGAAGGAAGAGATTCAGAGGTTAACAAAATTACCCCTAATCCCTTTAGATCATACCCAGCATATGGCAGTAATTAGCCTGTGCTGCCTTAATCAGGGACATGACGGATGAGCGTCCCAGATGAGCGCTGACCTCACAGCCTCTCGCCAGGACAAAGCCCTGGCCCAGAAGCACAGTCTCTGTCTGTGCCAGGGGGGTGGCACAGGAGATGTCAATGCCTGGGCCACAGGATAGAGTACAATCTGGAGCTCTTCCCTTCAGGGCTCTCCCTGCCACGGATGGGGCAGCAAATCACGGGGTCCTGAAGCAGCTGCTGACCCCCTGGGCCCAGCTCTCCCTGCCCTGCATTCCCAGCAGCTCCAATTTTCTGCCCCAGAAATTCCACAAGAGTCTTTGCAAGCAGCAAGGAGCAGGAGCTGGCAAGGAAAGGGGACAGGAGCACAGTGCCAGACCACAGCTCCTGCATGGCCACTGCAGCTGTGGGGCAGCCCCATCCAAAGCAGCCCCTTCTCCTGCTAGAAGTGAGGTGAGGGTCCCAGGACGGGGTTGGGCTCAAGCAAGAGGCCTCACCTGGGTCAGCCAGGGATGGGGATGCAGGCGTTCATGCAGCAGCCCTGAGTGCCATACCTGAATGTCAGCCAGCAGCTCCTGCTTGCGGCGGCGGATGTTTTCCAGCTCCTGGCACTCCTCCGGGGTCAGGTCACTGGGCACTGTGAGGGACAAGGACAGCACAGGGGATCACCCTCACGCCAGGATCCTGCCAGCAGCTGGCATGTGGTGCTACTGGAGGATCTGGTGAGCCCCAGCCCTGCATGGCCAAGAGCTGCCAGCGGCACGCAAGGAATGCGATGGACACTGTGCTCCCCAGCTGGGCAGCGGCTGTGGGGGGAGCCTGGCCCCACAGATTCCTGCTGATTTAGTCTGAGGCAGTAAGCTCTGGCCCAGCCTCTGGTGCCACTGCAGCCTCTAACCCCTGTGCTCACTGCAGCCATGGCACCACACGGCTGGGAGGATGCCCTGCTCCTCGAGTGGCACTGCCGGCAGCTCCCGCTCAGCCCCGTGCTCCTTCCTCCATTCCAGCCTGGCTGATCCCAGCCCTGCAGCCCCCACAGGGACCCAGAGCCACCCGAGCGATGCTAAGCCACAATGGGTGAGCCCCAGAGAGAGCTGGCTCCAGGCCGTCCTTGGTGCCTCCTCCATGCTGAATGCACCCACCTGAATGGAGGTGAGAGCCAGTGCACCCCGACACGCATCACTGCACGGGGTGACACCTGGCTGCCTTGCTTTACCCACAGCAGCCGGGGCTGAGCCACACGCTCCATCGCCCTTCCCTCTCACTGCAGCTCAGGGGTGACATTCCTGCTGCTCCCCAGCGCATGACCTCCTACTCTGCACTTACATGGCACCCGCTGCTCCTGTTCCCAAGGTCACCCTGGCAGCCCCCGCCTCCCCCTGCCCTACCATCGCCTTTCAGCTCACATCCTACAACAAGGGCATGACCAAAACTCCAAGATTGGTGCCTGCAGAGCAGAGCTCTTGCCACAAAGCACCTCACGTCACTCCTCCCCCACCTATCCCCAGGTGCCACCACAGTCCCCAGGTCCCTACTGCCCCCTCCATCCCACCCTGTGCTGTCCCAGGCCCAGCTCAGCCCAGCACTCCTTGGGGGCCCAACAGCCAGGACCCTTCATCCCCTCTCTCACACCCCAGCACCGTTTGCTCTCTCCAGCGCCGTCCCCAGTGCTGTTCCCCCCTCCTCGCCAAGGCTTGCAGTGCCTCTGGGGTGGTGGCTGTGCTCACACAAACCGAATGTCCCAGCTCAGCACTTTCCTCACTCCGCTCGCGTTCCCTGATGAGGTTCCTCCTTTAGAGAAATCCCCTCTGCAAAGGTCAGCAGCAGCTCCAGCTTGCGACACGATCCCTCTGGACTCGACGGAATACTTCCCAATATTTCCAGCCTCAGATATCCAAGTTACAGCACCAGGTTCTGAACTATCTATGCCCAGAATGCTGGAGGCACTGCTCCGTGGGCTGCTCAAACCCTCCCCAGCACTGGAATGGAGTCGGTTCCACTGGAGCACGGCCTCTCCGGTCCGGCTGTGTCCAGCACCCTGCAGGATGTGGCTTGCTGGGAGTTGCAGTGTGGGGCCGTGTGGGAGGTGAAATTCAGTGCCAGACCGCAGTCCCCCCAGGCCTGCAGAGGGTGGGTGGATGGGTGGGAGGCTGCAGCAGCAATAGAGCAGTGCAGGCACGCAGTAGGTGCAGAGAGCCCTGGGGGAACGCTGTCTCTGCCCACCTCTGGGCAGTGTGGGCAGGGGGCTCAGAGAGACTTGTAGCAGCCACAAAACCCATCCCCCCCCCCCATCCCCCCCCTAGCCAGCCTGCCTGCTGCTGTGCTGGGAGAGCACTCGTGACACGGCCCAGCCGTGTCAGCAGCAGCAGGAGGAAGAGAAACCCCAGACGCAGAGCTTTTTTCAGCAAAGGACGCAGGCGTTAACCCTTCCATGGCGCCGAGTGGAGCTGCAGCAGCCTCTGAGCCTCAGCCCTGCACAGGGCTGTAAGCGGGGGCTGGAGCAGAGCACCAAGTCCAGCAACCACACCGGGCTGTCATCCCAGGCCGCCATGCTGAGAGCAAGGATTTCCCGCACAAACCAGAAAGCACCAATACCGTGTGCCATCCCCCCAACCCCTGCAGAGCAATGCAGGGGAGCAGCTGCCTCACCCCCAGGGCAGCGAGGAGCACGGCAAGGCTCCGTCCTGGCTGCAAGGCACAGGAGCACATACCTCGCTCTCACCGTGCACTGAACGGACACAAAGCCCCTCTGCATGGCACCCAGCCCCACCTGCCTCTTTCCCACCCGCTGCCCTATGCAGGCTGCTGGCCGCTCACCGCCGCCCTGCACCCCGAGGACCATCCTGCCGGGCCGTTTCCTTCTACCCACGTCCGCACAGCGCTGCAGAGGTGCTGCCCTTTGGGGTGCCGACAGCTGCCCCCTCCCAGCGCTTCCCGGGTGAGTCAGGGCAGCGCCGGGCCAATGAGCTCCGTGCTGTGCCAGGCGTCATCGCAGCCTGGCCGGGAGTTGGCACCAGCAACGCCCGGTTCCTGTGCAGCCAGAGCCCCGCGCCCCCTCCTCGGCCTCCAGGGTCGCTGCCGCCCACCCGGCCCGGCCCTTCCTTCCTCGGGGGCTGCCAGGATGCATGCGGCTCAGCACGTCCCGAGCTCAAGGTGGTGACACCGGGGACCCCTCTCCCACTCCAGCCGGGGTCCCTACCCTGCCTTGAAGATCTGGCGCTGCCCAGCCATACCCCCAGCTGTGTGTTCAGGGCCCACGGGCTGTAAGTGCCACCACCTGCTCTCATTTCCCTCAGTGGTGCCGTGCCTGCAGCAGCAGAGCCCTCGGCAAGGCCTTGTCCCGCTGCAGCTGCCTGGAGAGACCACAAGAGCTCTGCCACATTGACTCAGCTAAATCCTGCTCCACGGCGCGCGATGGAAAAACGGCATCCAGAGCGCTGGCTGCAGGGATCTCCCAGGAAAGCTCAGGGAAGAAAGGCCTAAAACAAGGCTCACGTTGGCCTTTCAGCTGAATGCTGTGCTGTTTGGGGCCACAGCCCTCCTGCTGCACAGGTGCTGCACAAGCAGAGCTGAAGACCGCAGGGACACCCCAGCCCAAGGCATGGGCTGCTGACCTCAGGGCATTGCCTGTGGGCTCCACTGTGGGGCTCCTGCTGCACCCCACTGCTGGGGGGGGGACAGACTGAGAGGCCCCAAGAAACTTCCTGCCCCCGCCCCAGTGCACCACATCCTGTTTTCACTATGCTGTGTGCACATCCTGGGTTGCGTCAGCCCTGTTCTTCCCCACAGACAGTTGAGGTGCGTCAGGAGCACGGCTCAGGGACGGGCGGCTCCAAGATAGAATCCCCCAGCCCTGCCCCACAGCTGAGAGCTGGCTGGGATTCTCAGCCCCTTCGAGCAGCCTTGCCTTGACACCTCATCTTCTGCACCCCTACCCCCAGTAGGGAACCTACCCCACTAGTTTCAGGCTCCTGCACCCCCTGAGCATAGAGCCCAGCTCGGTCACAGGGCTGGAGAGCCTTGGGGGTACATAACGGAGCCACGTCCACCCTCACAGAGCTGCACCTTCCTGCAGCCCCACGTGGGTGCCAGGAGTGCATCCCACATCCTCCTCACTTATACTCCATTCCCAGGTCCCAGCTTAGGAGCAGAAGCCTCCAGACAGACGGCAGCAGCTCACAGGCACTGCCAGCCCACAGTGGCAGCTGTGACACAGCAGGCGCTGGGCTGCCCCAGCCAGGTTTTGCCTGGAGAACGTAGGCTGGAGCTGTGCTCACAACCACGCATGCTCGTTCCTGCTCCGACTGGAGTAGCAGTGAGGGCATCACCCACGGCAGCGCTGGGGCAGGGGGGTGAGGGGCTGCTGGACAAGTCTCAGTGTGCTACATGTACCCACTGTGCTCCCACATGCTCCCCAGCACCCCATTCCAGCAATATGGTGCAACACCAGCCGCACCCGGAGCCCAGGGCTTGCGGGGGCCCGAGCCTGGCAGTGCACGGGGGAAGGAGGCAGCAAGAAGACTGAGATTCTCTGTGCTGCTGTCAGCACGAGCCATATGGAGCCAGAGCTACGGGCACCTCATCTGCTGGGGGGACAGGGATGCTGCAGCGAGCAGAGGGCACGAAGCACCTACCTGCCGTGGAGGCCACGGAGGGGCAGAGGAAGGCCTGAAAGCTGGAGGCGCAGAGCTCGCTGACCGTCCCCATGCTGCGCAGCGCCGGCTCCCCTGGGGCAGGCAGAGGGCAGGCGGGCACCACACAGCAGCAGCAGCTCCCTGCAGCCGGGGCTGCCCCGGGTGTCCCCGCTCCTCCTGGAGCAGGATGAGGCGGCTCTGGCAGCGGGAGGCTCCAACAGCAGGAGCCCACGCGCCCAGCCCCAGCCAATCCCGCTCCGTGCCGGCACAGCAGCTGCTGGTGTTCCTGGGCACCGGCCGGCAGCTCAAAGCCGCTTGGAGGACGCAGAGTTGGGAAGTTCCCAACAGCACCCCTGCCCTCAGGCTGCCTGCCCCCCGCCAGCCCCAGCACCCAGGCGGCTGATGGTGGGGTATTTTTAGAGCGGTTTTATCCCTCCGTATTAGAGCTTTAAGCATCAAGAGCCGCTGGTTGCGTAGCAACCTTCCCTGCATAAAAGGAAGGTGCATAAAGAGACACAACGGGCTGGAGCAGGCGTGGGGAGAGGGGTGCTGCCACAGCCCTCAGTTGTGGGGCACAGGGGAACGCTGCTCCCCAGTATGGCCCCGATGGACTTGGGCACCTGGGAGCGCAGAGCGGGCAGCCTGGAGCTGGAACACCACGGCTGTGCTGGAGACGATTCCCCAGGCCCTGGCAGCTCCCACAGCAGGAGCTGGGGCTCTGACTGAGCTATTGGCCCCCGGCAGGGCTGGGGGCAGCGTTTGGCCCCACTGCACCCGGCCCCCAATCTGCCAGCCCCACAGGCGCCGAGCGAGCCCAAACCGGACAGACAGCTCCTTCCCTCCCTGCAAGCAGGAGTGATTCCCCAGCGTGGGGCAAGTCCGTGAGTAACAAACTCCAGAGCCTGTCGGGGCATGAGGCCACGTCCTGCAGACGGCACCTGGGACAGCTGGGACTGCTGCTGGGAGCCTGAGTTCTGCTCACCTGTACCGGGCAGCACTGAGATGGGCTGAGATGGGAGAACTCCAAAGTGGGCAGGCAGTGCTCAGATGGGGAAGGGCTATGGGAATGGACACAGGACCTTGAGGGATGCAGTGTTGGGCACAGGCAGGAGTTACCCAGGTATTGGGAGCAGCTGTGGATGGGTGGGAAAGAGATGGGAGCAGTTGCTCCCAGGCGCTCATCACCTCCACAACTGAGTTGCACTGCTTCCCCTTCCAGGGGAAGCAAAGCAGCTGCTGCCTCCTGCTACACAGAGGTGAAAGCTGTAAGGAGCCGCAGGGACACAGGGCTGGGCCAGAGGAAGCCTGTGCAGGGAGGGCAGCCATGGGCACTTGAAACGAGCTGCACCAACTGTGGCTGAGGCCCTGGCCTCTGTCTGCCCAAGAGCAGCCCTGGGAGTGGTGCAAGGCTGCTCTGCTTCCACCCTGCAGCCCCAGCTCTGGGCAGTGGGCACAGTACTGTGCACCCAGAGCCGTGGCTGGGCTGAAACAACAGCTCAGGGATGCGTGGCCCTACCAGGGCCTCCATACAATTTCTGCGTGTCAGCAGTGCTGCTCATCACACTCTGCTCTGTCTACTTTGGCTAAAGGCCTTTCTCACAACACTGCATGCTCCGAAGCCCCAATATCTCTCTGCCCCACACTCCCTGAACCCGGGCTGTCCCCAGTCCTATGTTGCCTGTTCTCCCAGCGACCCGGATCTCACCTCAGGCCCACCTCAGAGCTACACAGAGCTTCACCCCCGTGTCCCCACAGCCCCCAGTGCCTGCTGCAGGGCTGAGCCTCCAAAGCGCCCCACTGAGCCCATGCTAAGGCACCTGCTGGGACCTGCCCAGACAGCAGGGCTGGCAACGGGCTGCCCGTCCCCAGCCCACCCCGGCGCTGCCCCAGCTGCGGGCCCCCGGCACAAGCCGCTTTGCAGAGCTCGCATCAACCCCGCTTTGAGAAATCCCTTAATCCTCCAGGGCAGCGCCAGCGGTAATCCCTCGGTGCTGCAGGATTACCCCAGGGCCGGGCCCAGCCCGGGACACAGCGCTGGGACAACGGCGGCGCTCCGACGGTCCGATTCCAAACAGCACCGCGGGGACAGACGGCCCGTGTCCGCCGCTCCGCTCCCGGCCGGGGCTGACGGGATGGCAGCGGCCCGGTCCGGGTGGGCACACAGCTGTGCCGCCAGCTGCTCGGCCGCCGGGATTTGCTCCCTGCCGACACACACACACACACAGGAGGGGGGACGGAGCGGGAGGGGGGGACCGCCACCTGCACGACCTCTGCACAGCCCCTTCGTCGAGGCAGCGAAACAACGCGGTCAGAAGCGCTTCGCGACGCCGGGAACGACCCGACCGAGCCCGGGAAAAATGCCGAAGCCTCTCCCGAACGGCAGCGCCCGGTTCCGAAGCTGCCCGGGAAGGTTCGGAAGGGCGGCATCAGACCCCGCACGTCAGCCGAGCCCCAGTTCCGCCCGCACCGGACGCGGAGCCGCACCGAACGCCCCGCCCGGGCAGGGCCGCCTTATCGCCGTTCGCAGCCCGCACCACCGCCCCGCGGCCCGGCGCCGCCCGCCGAGACCCGACCGCGGCCGCCCCGCAGCCCCCGGCCCGCCCCGCCCGGCGCTCCCGCGGCCCCTCCCACCGCTCCCCCGGTGCCGGTCCTCCGCCCCGGTGCCCCCCCGTGTCCCCCCCGCACTGACCGTAGCCGCCCTCCTCGTCCATGCCGCCTCCGTCGCTTCGGCCCCGCCCGCGTGACGGCGGCTCCGAGGCCGCAGAGGGCGATGACACGTGACGTGGTGGAGGCGTGGCCAATGCAGGCCCCTCCCATTCCCATACATCGCCCCCCCCCCTCCCCAGGCCCCGCCCGCTGACACTCGGCTCTCAGACGCGCGTGGTTTTATTGCCCGCCCGGACCCAAGGGCTGCACTGCGCCTCGCACAGCGGGGATGGGGGGGCACCAGCCCCAAGGTGCCCAGTTCTGATAAATCAGGGTCAGTGCCCCCCTCCCCAGAAAGGGAGGAGGGGGACACGCAGCCTGGAGGCACAACAGGGGCTGGAGGCACAGCGCAGGGTGGCCCTCCAGCCCCAGCCAGGACAGAGGTGATGGAGTTGCAGCGGTGGGGGGCAGCCCCCCAGGCTGGCTGATACAGCAGCACTGGAAGGCAAGAGACCACAGCCCTGCCTGGGCTCTGCTGGTCCTAGGGAGCTCCAGCAGTGATCTGGGACAGAGAGCAGCCCACAACCTCCGGGGGGGGCAGAAGCAGCAGCACAGGGCCCGGCAGCATTTTGGCCCCTGCAGGGCAGAGCAGAGTGAAGCAGCCACATCCCTGCTCCTAGGGGAACCCAGGGAATGTGAGTGCATTTCCACAAGGCTGCATCCTTGGCAGGGATCCTTCAGCCCCCCACCTCAGGCACCTTAGCGAGGGTGCAGCAGCAGCTCTGAGGAAGCACGGCTCCTTCTCCAGCCCCAGTGCTGCAGGGTGCAGATTCCACCTGAGAGGCAAGGCGTGGTGTTAGCACCCCAAAGGGCCAGCTGCCCCCGCTGCCCCCACTGCCCCCAGGCTCACTCACCTTACAGCCGGTAGCTCAAGCTGGCCACCTTGGCAGGATGCGTCACCGACCAGAAGTTGCGTTTGCTCTGCAGCTGCTGGAAAGGATTGAAGTGTCTCCTCCGCTCACGCTTCAGCTTTTTAACCTTCTTCACCTACGCAGAGAGAGGAGGAATGCACCCAGGTCAAGGCACAGCCCACCACCCTGCACTCCTCAGGATGCAGCTCAGCACCCACCTTCCCTCGGTCGAACTCCTCATCCCACTCATCAATAACGGTCTCGCTCCGGGCCCACGCTGCATCCCGCATGGCATCGCGGCTGACAGCTGACACCTCACCCTCCCAGGTCAGGACTGTGAAATGCCAATATCAGCATTGCACAAGGAGCCCCTGTAGGGCTGGGGCGCGTGGCTGCACACCCCCCAGTCGGTACACAGGGCCGTACCTTGCTTGCCATAAGCCTTGTCCAAGGAATTTCTGAGCAGCTCCTCCACTACGCTGCGCTCTGGGCTGCGGGGCTGTGTGCCAGCCCCAGTGTTCGAGGCAGCCGCGCCGTGTTTGCACCCATCTCTGGCCAGGCTGTCCCACGTACACACTGCTGCTGTGGGGAAAGCAGGTGAGGAGAGGCCGGGGTGATGTCCCACATCACCCCAATCTCCAACGCAGATTTCACCCCAAGGGACTGTTGGGATTAAGAAGGTCTGATGTTTGAGCAGAGAGAGCCAGGGAAGAATCCTTCCCAAGAGAAGATCAAGCCATAAACATGGAGAGGAAGGGCCCTTACCTGGCACAGCAGGCAGCATGGCACCGTACCTGGGGCACTGATGGCAGCTGGCTGCTCTGAGGTCACGTTGCCTAGACTTTCCCTCTGCTTGCACTTCCTGTGCTCACTCTCTCCCTCGCTGGGCTCAGGACTCTGCTGCTGCTTTGTCCACAAGGGCTCTGTGCCAGCCCTCCCAGAGCTAGGGAAGCCAGCAGACATTAGAACTGGGCAATAGGCTCGGTGGGTTGGTCCCCCCAGCCTCACCTGCCTGTGGGTTGGTCCCCCCAGCATCCCTGGAGCCTCACCTGCCTAAGGGTTGTGCCCCAGAGCAGCATTCCTCGGTCTCCTGTAGCCTTCTCTTCCTCTTCTTCTTTTTGAGGGGGGAGATGGGCTCCATGCTGGGAGAACCACTGGGGCCCTGCTCCTCCCTGCCTGTGCCAGTTGCCTCCTTCCCTGGGATAGAGCACTCTGGAGCAATGTTCTTCCTCTTCCTTGGGGGGCTGCAGCCTTCATTACAGCCATTCACAGCCATAAAATGCGAGCTGCCTCCCGCTTTGGATTGCTGCTGCTTTCGCTGCTTCTTTTTGGTGGACATAGGGCTGGGTCCATGCTCCCCGCTGAGGGTGGGATGGTGCTGAGAGGGATGGGCCCCATTGGTCAGGGGGGAGGCTGGGAGCCAGGGGGCTGCGCTGGGAGCGAAGCTGAAGGTTGGTGTGTCAGGGCTGGGCTGGGGGAGAGCGGAGGGCAGCCTGCAGGACAAGAACAGAGGCTGAAACAAGCCAAAAGCCAGACTGACAGCAGGAACCTCCCTTTCCCTCTCCATCCAGGATGCAGGAGCTCAGCCCTCACCTGGCTCCACCCCAGACACAAGCCAAAAAAGCACAACCAGGCCCTGCTCCAAGAGCTGCACGCACTGCCCATGGGTGCTGCTACAGCACAGGCACAGCAGAGACCTGGACCAAGAGCCAGACCTGCCCAGAGCCTCCTGCTGCCAGGAGACGCTAATGCACAGCCAGTGCCAACAGTCAGAGCAATGGCTGCAGAACCTGGGCTGAGTCCTGCAGTGTCTCAGCAATACCAGACTGCCTGGCAAGTATCAGCTCCAGGGCTGCTGCCGTGCAGGAGGCTGGGGATCCCTGTCCTGCTTACCTGGGCCTGCTGCAAGGCCAGGGCTGGGCAGTGGCCGTGGCGAAGGCGAGGCCAGCAGGCTGCACACGGCCGTCACTTCCGCTCGCCCTCCGTGGGATGCTGCCCTGCAGTTATCGACATAAATAAAAACTTGGTGGTCTAACAGAAAGGGTTCCGTGAGCCAAGAGGAGGAAAATAAAAAGGGGAGCCCAGAGAAAGGGGAGGGGGAACAGACACAGAGGGGGAAAGGGAAGTGGGGGGGTAGAAGAAGAATCAGAAGTGTTCTCAGTTAGAAGCACAAAGGAAAAAAAAAGGAAGGAAGGAAATTTAAAGCATGGAAAGCACAGCGCACAGCCACTGGCAGGAGCAGCCCGCAGCTCTCCAGCTGCAGCAGCACCGCCACCAGTTCCCTGCACCCACCATGGGGATGCAAAACCCATCCCAAGTAGCCGGGCCTGGCCCCACACCGCTCACCCAGCCCGGGGGTTCTCCCAGCCCGGCTCTGTGAGCACCACCCTGCCCCTCCCCGGATTGCATCCGCTGACACGGAGCAGCAGCGTGGGCTCACCTTCTTGGCAGACAGTGCCAGCTTCTTGGCTGGGGGTGGCGATGTGGTGCCGCCCAGCTCCAGTGCAGCGGATTTCAGCTTCATCAGCCTGGAGCCCTCGGGGAGATCGGCGCCACAGTCTGTGTCCTGAGAGGGGTCGAGGCCGCCTGCCCCGCTCTTGGCCTTTGGGGCCGCTTTGGCTGCATCCCCCGCTGCGGTGTGCGCAGGGCTGGGGGCTGCGCTGCTGCAGGAGCTGCGCTGCGGGGTGCCAGGGCTGGGCAAGGTGGGGGTCTGCATGCTGTCCCCGGGGCTCTGCTGGGGTGGATCTGCAGTGCTGGAGCCACATGGGCCCGGAGATGCTTTCGGTGCCGGAAGCTGCTGTAGGGACGGCGTTTTCTTGGGCCTTCGGGCTGTGTCATCACTCGGTGTCACCTGGGTGGCTCTGAGGGGCAGTTTGGGTGATGGGGACCCGGTGGGTGGCTTTGGTGGTGCAGAGCCATTGGACAGCTTTGGTCCTGCACCTGCTGAACTGCGGGCCACCGGCACCCCAATCTCCTCTGGCCCTGACAGCTTTCTGCCCGGCAGCACCTCGGGGCTCTAGGCAAGGAGGAATAATGAGGGTCAGCAAAGGGAGGCCCTGGGGATGGAACTACGCTGCCCACACTCCCCAGGCTGCTGTGGGGAGCATAGGCACAGCCAGACCCCTCCCACAGAGCGCTGCCCACTGCCCCCACAACCCTCCTCCATCCTCACCCGGCCCAGAAGCGGTGATGGCAGGGGCCCGTTGGTTGTGGTTCTCTTGGTCTGATCAGAAACAACAGGTGAGTGGCTGGGGGTGGCTTTGGCAATGGGCCCTTCCGAGCCCTTCCTGGGGCCAGGGATCCTGGGGGAAGCAGAGTGCATGTCAGCCAGGAGGGCTGCAGAACGTGAACCCTGTGGCATTCGTGCCCTTGTGCCCAAGCACACATTCTGATGCTGCCAGGAGCTGCTGAAGGGCAGGGGGCACAGGATACCTCACCTCAGGTAAAACAGCACGTAGGCCTGCTGATTGAGGACCACCTTGATGTTACTGCAGTGCACGAGGGAGTCATTCATCTGGTACCACTGCC